TAACAAAGGCCTCTTTAACACATTTCCCTTTTTATTGCTTTTATGTTTACACCATGGTTTCACTAAGGATCCAACACTTTTCTCTGGCTAGCAAGGGGCCTCTACCCCGGTAATTACTCAAAAACGGGCCTCTACCCGGTAATTACTCTTTTTCTCTTCTCAAGGGGCCTCTACCCCGGTAATTACTCAAAAAAGGGCCTCTACCCTGTAATTACTCTTTTTCTCTTCTCAAGGGGCCTCTACCCCATCAGGTAGGGCTGGGCGATATGGCAAAAAAAAAAAATCTCCGATTTTTTCACACCAAATCCGATTTTCGATTTTAATCGATTTATTTTTTTCTATTTAAAAACAAACTACAACTGACAAAGAAATAGATTTTCCTTTATGCAGTTTAATCTAAATCCCCATGGAGCATAAGTGTAACAGGAATTAAGCCTTAAAACATGCTTGTAAACGGGATGGCTCTGCCATTGTAAACAGTGAAAATGTAGCTTCACAGTTTTATAATAACTTCACTTACAATGACACTATGCACCTTCAAAATAACTTAAATCACACAAACAAGGCCCATCGCAAATATATCAATCCTATTAAACACATGCATTATTTACATGAAAAATCACATTTTTAAAACTGATTACTCAAAATAGAAATGTTGTAACAGACAGTCTTTTCCAAAAGCCTCCTCGGGTTTTCATGCTTGTTCTTTCAACTGTGCCTGAGTAACTGTGCTGTAGTACAACGCTCGGTCCAGCTGGTGGCGCTAATACTAACTTCAGTGACTCCCGCATTGTGCGAGCTTCCTGTTTACATTCTGATGCTGTAGCTAACAGCTACTGTAGCATCTACTGTAGCTAACAGCTACTGTAGCAGCTACTGTAGCTAACAGCTACTGTAGCAGCTACTGTAGCAGCTACTGTAGCAGCTACTGTAGCAGCTACTGTAGCTAACAGCTACTGTAGCTAACAGACAGCGGGGAACACGTTGTTTGTATCAGAGCAATGAGAGCAATGTGTGAGACGTGTCTTTCCCCAAAGTGCAGCGGCTCAGTGGGACACGAGTGTGTGCGCGCCACGGACACGGGAGTGCGCTTTGGAATAACGAGCGTGAGAGAGCGTGAGAGATGTGGCGTACGAACATGGCGTACGAACATAGCGACCGGGGCTTGCGTGCGTGCGTGTGTGTGTTTTGGCGATTAAATAAAGTCTGATTCTTGAACGTTTGAAGTGTTATTGCAACAGCACCAACTGTGAGAGCGAGCATCAGGCCAGAGGGAGACTGTTAGCATTAGGTTAGCTTCAAAATGACTGCTCAACACCATAGACCCGCGGTTAGCGCGTTAGCGCTGTAGTTCTGCGCTGGAGAAAATAAAAATCGAATTTTTAAAAAAAGAAATCGCCCTAAATGTAAAACTCGAATTAATGATTAAAATCGATTAATCGCCCAGCCCTACCATCAGGTAACGAACCTGTTTTTAATCTAATCTGATCTATAGATATATGACACTTGGTAGACCTCAAAACAGACCAAAATTTAGCTAGTATCCAATTATACAGACTTTACATATAAAAAGGTGTCTGCTTACCTTATTCTTGTCAAACAGGATCCAAGGACTGTCCGAGAGGTCCACCAAATATCAGCTTTTCCACGTCCAACCAGGTCTCCAGATCATGAACCAGCGCTCACTAGTACCGGGAACTAGTTTCCATCGGCAGAGACCAATCGCACGTCAAAAATCCCCGGAATGTGGACATGGGAAAACAATTTTAAACGCTCAGTCCAAAAAACAGGACACAAAAAAAATATAGTGAGAGAGCGAAAAAGAGTCCTGTAGCCGGTCGCCTCTCCTGCTGGACCGCTCCTAGGCCCCCGATACTCTCAGCTCTCCCATGCCGAGAAAAAGAAACAAAGAAAACTCCCTCAAAACAATCCAGAGAATGGCACACACTGAGCCGCGCATTCTCCACCAAATCTGTCAGGGATGAAGCAGACAGAGACGGATTGTGGTGCGCTAGGGCTGGGCGATATGGCTGAAAACTATATCACGATATAAGTAATTCATATCGGTCGATAACGATATATATTGAGTTTTTTTTTTTTTTACCTAAATAAATATATTTGTTGTGTGGGCTAACCAACCTTAGCAGCCTTGTTTACATTCGCGGGGCAATGAGGCTGGAGGAATATGTTCACACTGTGTCCCTCGTTGTTAGTCCTGGTTTAATCCTGGTTTTTTATTCCTGGTTTAGCTCCTGGTTTAGCTGTTTGAGGGTCTTGTGTCCCCGTGACCGCTCCGTGCGGCTCTCTGTGCCGCACATGCTTCCCGAGGAAAAAGTTAATCTCTTGCTTTCGCCGAATACATCGGGTCTGTCCACTGCCTCTGCCGCCGCACATGTTATTCCGCGCACGTACGTGCATAACCATTGACACGGCATTGAAACACGAGCTATAGATCCATGGACGCTACGCATGGTGCGGTTGTTGGTGTTTTTGCATTTCCCAGAAAGTTTTGCGGTTCCTGCTCGGCTGTTATTGGTCGAGAAGCCTCTGCCTACATCCCCCACAATGCCATGCGCTTATGAGTCGGCTTTACTTCCGGTGTTTTCTTCCTGTTTTTCCTGACGGAGTAAAGTTAAACTATCGAACATTCTATCGACCCCATTCTCTATTGATATCGAACACATGTCTATCGCGATATATATCGTTATCGTTTTATCGCCCAGCCCTATGGTGCGCCAAACTCTGGAAGTTTATTTAAGTTTCTCTCAAGTTCCAGTGGTTTCCTTTGTTTCTTCTCTCAGACAGAATAAAGGCAGTACACAGTTTATATAGTCATTGTCACGTCACACATCGAAAGACATACGTGTCACACAGAGACAGTCACATCATAGTCAAAATATAATCAGAGTCCTTGTACAGTTCTGCACGTAGGCCATATTGCTATCTAATACTACCAGGACCATGTGGAAGAGGTTGGTGTGATCGGTTGCAGCTCGGGTCTCATGACCAGCTTGCACTCCGCTTTGGATCAGTGTTTTTGTTCGACATGGTTCTATCTGAGGAGCCTCTGCTTTCAGTCTGAGCGGTCGCTCGCACTGACCCCAGCCTGACCCCGGACTGTCCTGTTAGAGAAATCAAACACTTCTTACTTTTCTCTGTGGGGATCATGCTGCTGCTGGCTCTTGAACACTCGTCTGTGAAGCTCGACTGCGTGTTTAATAAACAGGCCGTGCTAAAGTGAATATGAGATCAGGCCGTGTGTAAAAATCAAACTATGTGAAATGTTTCAAGGACTGAGTCATGCTTTGTAGCAGTAAGATTTTTCTGCCACCTGCTCAAACTGTTGGTCTAATAATGTTGACCTAAAATTATTTGTGCCATCGGCCCCTCCAACCACCAACCATTAACACATACATCAGACTAACTCAGATAAAGTGTGTTGCTTTACTTAACAGCCCCAGCCCCCCACTGTGGCATCTGATGTCTCCAGAGGTCACCCATCACAGGACTAAGGCTGAGTTTACACGGAGACAATGTGGCAGTAAAACGGTATAGTTGGATGTCGGTTTCTACCAACCGTTCATCCGAAGACTGTGTTCCAGGGGGGTGAAAACGTAAGTGTAGAGATCCAGCCTTCAGAGTGGGACAACTCAGATACGCTGCACAGCGGGGAGCTCTTTCACACCCGCGAGAGGGAAAAAGGTGTGAAATCCCCCTCTGCTCTGACCCCCGCCTCCGCGCTGCTCCCCGCACGTAAATTTGGACATGCGCAGTAGCGGAGAACAAACATCAACAAAAATGGCGGTGTTCTGTCGAGTTGGTCTGCCCGTCGAGATGATCTGGCTCAGCTGTTAATGATGTAATGCAAACCAGCGCTGCGCGTCTCACGGCAGCCAAAGCAAACCGCGTTGTGATATGTGTGTTTTAAGAGGAAGAGTTTCGTGTAAAGTTTGTTTTAACACTAGGACCGCCGTGCTCTAAACATACCTTGTACCGCCCCCTGCGGTCAGTTGACCGCTATGTATTTTGCGCTGATACAGCCTTTTGCCAAATTGATTGTTCACTAAACCAGAACTTGTTGTTGCAAGGAAATCGTGATCATAATGAAACTGTGTAAATTATTTGTCTAAATATGCTAAGTAATTGTAATTCTAGCCGAAATAAAAGGCTAAGACGACACATTGTGCGTGTACTGATCCATCAAAATTACGATGACTTTTCTGGCTAGATTTATTTTGTAACTTTGCAAACACCTAAAAGGTTGGTCACTATATGTTAAATTTGACTCAGTAACAATATGTAAATTCAAACAATATAAATGATAGTTTAGAGCACGGGACCATAACGTCTTCGCGCTGCTATATGCGTCTACTTCTTACGTCATCTCCAGACTGTTTTCTCTTTCCAGCCGAAATCACCGTGGGAAATATTATCTAGATAATAATAACAGTATTCGTATTGACACAAGATCATCAGCTAGGCTACCATCGTCAATGTACAATCTTCAATTTTACACGGGACACGTTAGAAAGACAAATAGATTTATTTGAGACAAGCAGTGCTCTTTATGATCAGAACAAAATTATAATCAATGCCTTGAAGTGCACGCTGTGCAGAATAACACACAGTGTTATCTGAATGAAATAAGAATGAGATCCTTATTGATATGATCAGGGCCGCTTCTGCCCCACAGTCGCTCTCCTCCTGCAGGTGTCCGCGGGTGACGAGAGGCCTCACAGCGCTCTATCTGCACTCTGCCTTGATAGTTCATCTAATTGTTCTATTTTATTGCGATATTGTATTCTGCTTTATTGCCTTCATCTATGTATAAATATAAGAATGTAAATGCAAACATGCTCGAACTGATTATAAAACAAATTACAGAAAATGTGCGCAACCAAAAGTGGTTATAACGGCGCAGAACTGATTGAAAACAAAACATACAAAATAGAACATTAATATTGATAAAACATAGAGGCTATTTACATTATATACAAAGTCTACACACACTTCAGGCAACGAGGTTCTAATTGGACCACACATTTGCCACATACAGGCCGCTTGCACCCACTGCAGACCACGGTGGTTTTATTCTGCTTGCAGTGGGCATTGATCTGGCACTGCCGTCTCCTCTCTGGCACCTGTGGGTGGGGAACATAGGGAAGCGGGAGAAGCGGTCTCTGCACTGTTGCAGGGGGGGCGGCTTTTGCTAGCATGTGCTCCCTGCGCAGCTCTTTGGCCAGCTCGAGGATGAAGGCGCGCCTCGCAATGTTTGCCCCTGTACACTGCCTGTATAGGACCCATGCGTTTATTGCAGCCAAATCCAGGATGTTGCAGAAAACTGCCACGGGCCACCTCCTTGTCGCACCTTTTGTTGAATAGAGGCGAGCCATCTGGTCCAGCGAGTCTACACCAACCTGTGACAAGAACACAACGTGATGGGAGGCTGCATGCAGTGCATGCTAAAAAGCAGAATTACCTTTGTGGTATTATAAAAGGTGATGGTCTCAGGCTTCCTCTTCCCCTCTGTGCCTGTAAGGACCGTCTGGTGGAGAGTACTCAGGATGGAGACACTCTTCTTCCTCTTTGCCTGGTACAGAGTGAGAGTGGCACGCTCATGCTTCAGCACCTTGGTGCTGTGGAGCTCTGCGCGCTGTTTCGCTGAAGGTGGGAGTTCTCTGCGCGCAGCATTCATGGTCCCGACGAGGCTGGTGTTTCTCGCCAGCAGGCATTTGGCTAGGGATAACGAGGTGAAGAAATTGTCAGTGGTGACATTCCTGCCTTTGTCCATGAATGGCTCCATGAGGTTGAGCACTACTCTCTCCCCCAAGCGCTGCCCAGCAGGCCGCGCTGCATCTTTCCCAAGATAAGGGATCCCATTGAGAAAATATTTGGAATCAACGTCTGCCGCCATCCAAAATTTTATGCCGAATTTATCGGGTTTATTGGCCATATACTGAGTGAAACGGCAGCGTGCTTTTGTTGGGTATAGCTGCTCATCCACCGTAACATTTTCTCCTGGCCTGTAGCACCGGATAGAGTTGGTGACGAAATCCCTCCACACGTCCGTTATGAGGGCAAACTTATCACTTGCGAGTCGGGCCTGCCTCTCCTCTCTGCGGTCAAAGCGAAGGAAACGCATTATCTGTCTATATCTCCTGCGAGGCATTGTGCTTCTGAAAAATGGAAGCCCCCACTCATCTGACCACAAGCTCTCCATCTCCAGATTTTTATTGAAGCTTCCCCTGACGTATAAAAGCGCGATGAAAGCTTTGAGCTCAGGGATGGAGAGGTACCACTGTATCCCAGAGCGACGCGCTTCAGCCACGGTGCAGTCCCGTATGTGCTGGAGGAGCAGGGGATCCATCAAGCACAGGAAAGCACTCTCCAGGTCGTGGATCCCATGCCTTGCAAATGCAGTAGGGCCTGCAATTTCCCTCAAAATATTTTGAGATGGCCTTCTTCCGCGCCCTGTGCCTAGTGGCACAGACAGCCACACGCTCCCGTCTTTCCCCATCTCTTCAGGACCTATGCGGCATTGGAGCAAATATTAAAATTAGGACAAACAGTCTGACAAATGCAATGGCATTGATTGCAGCTTGCCTTATGCGCTGCGTATTAGGCTACAGGCCTATACCTGATTCTGGAGCAGGTGCTCCTATCCAGACTTGGTCCCCAACGTCCTGTCTGCGCACTGGAAGAAAAAATAAACACATTTACAGGCCTGCCATGTGAAAATTATTGGGTAAATCTTGTCTATTTGCATGTGCCTACCAGCCGTATCCGCTGCCCCTCTGTGCTCACCTCTTGCTGCTGCAGCGCGTCCTGTAAGATAAGATAGTCTGTATTTATCTCACAAGGAGAAATTAACATGTCACATTTGGCATGGATAAACACTCAGATTGTGCAAACATGTTAAATGCAGGATATATTATGTACAATAAAAAATGGTAAAAGACTATCTTGCCTTTTTCATTATACAATAATGTTTGCACAAAATAAGCCCCCAATCACCTGACCAAAAGCTACGTTCTTGTTGAACCTTCCCCTAACATATAAAAGCGCGATGAAAGCTTTGAGCTCAGGGATGGAGAGGTGAGCGACGCGCTTCAGCCACGGTGCAGTCCCGTGTATATAAAATTATATATATATATATATATATATATATATATATATATATATATTACACAAAATATAGGCTACAATACATTGAATCAGCGGGTATATGCCTACTAATCTATTCTTTAGGATATATTCTATTCAAGCCGCGCTGCTAGCATGCTAATTTGGAAAACAACAGCAAGGACATTTCTTGGTTATTCCTTAGCCAATCAAACACACAAATATTTGGCAAATGTCCTAAAAATTGGTCTAAATTGGAGAATAGAACAAATAATGTATATTTACCTGCCGTCAAGGCGGTGCCTGAAGGAGGCGTCAACCTTCTCTTTGCGGGAGGAGGGAGCGCTGTGTCGGGCTCTGAGTCGGTGTTCTCACCGCTGTCACTCTCCACTTCAAAATCAGACATCTCACCTCCGTCAGACAGTTCTTCATCAATGTCTTGAAGCATTGCTAGGGCTTCATCTACCGTGTACTTGGCAGCTCTTTTCATTTTTGATCCTCTCAATTCAAAAGTATTGATAAAATGGCTTCTTCTTCCTCTCTTTCTCTCTCCCAAACTCAATCCCCTTTATAGTCTAATGACAACATATTTTGATACATTTTTATAAGGCGCGAAAAACCCCCGGGAAATGGTTACTATGACAATAGTCGCCCCTGCGCCATGTATCCCTATGGGGCAGCAGAAAGGGCTGTGGTTTACAAATGTTAAAATGCGTGTAAATCTTGTTTTCTTTATTTTTTCCAAGTACAAGAACACGTACCTAATAAAAGTCATAAAATTTCAACTTCTGGCGTTTTGTTTTGAATACACTAATTAGCATATTAAAGTGACTGACGGTCAGTTGACCGCTAGGGGCGCTCCTAGTAGCAGTCCACTGCTCCTGTGAAACTACACCGCTAGTGTGCCCAAATCTGATTTGCGCATGCGCACAAACCCGCCAGAATGGGGAAAAAACTCGATCTAATTAAATATTTTGTTTGAACAGACTATTGTTAATCATATTGAATACAGTATGATACATGCATAACATTTAATTTATTATTTCCATTATCAACCCGACAGACCAGTCACAGGACGCGTCATGGGCCTGACGTATGCAGCGGTCAACTCAGGGACTGCGATCACACAGCAGCAGTGTAGTTTGAAGTTTCACAGGAGCAGTGTACTGCTTAAAACAAACTTTACACGAAACTCTTACTCTTAAAACACACATCACAACGCGGAACCATCAACATCTCGCCTCAAATTGCATTAAAAGTGACATTCTTGTATTAACTCGTTCGTATTTAACTTTTAAAGCAATTCGCGGACTACATGTCCGCCATCTTGGATTGCTTCGGCTGCCGTGAGACGCGCATGGGCAGGTTTGCATTACATCATTAACAGCTGAGCCAGATCATCTCGACGGGCAGACCAACTCGACAGAACACCGGGCGCTAGAACTACATCGTTTTTCAACCTCATGTGAACACTGAGAAATTTGCATTAGGAGCCAGGTCGTTTCTGTTAATAGCCTGGAAACGTCTGCGCAGCGTCTCAGTATAAACAGGGCCTAAGCAGGCCCTATCCTGCTTAGCTTCAGAGGTCTGAACAGAAGACTTTTACGAGCAGGTGTTGGCACCAAATTCCATTTGGATGACATCAGTCTCTTTAGCTTAGTATGGCAGTTTTAGCTGTATTTGAGATATAATTAGGAATAATGGTTAGCCGCTATAATGCGTCACTGGGTTAATACAAAAGAAAATGTGTAACTTTCTACTTTTCCATTCATTTCTTAATGAAAACAAAGTGAGTTGTGAGATTTCATAACACTTTGAAGCGACTTTTGTTAAAGTTAAACTCAGTGGCGGCTGGTGGAATTTTCTACTGGGGGGGCTATGAATATGATGACTAGATATATACCAGCAGTAAGTAAGTTTACACTGACTGTTGTGACTGAAGCCTCACACGAGAATGAAATATTTATCTTCCCAAACATAGCTAATTTGAGGGCATTTTGCATGTGGATACCAGTCTGCTCATGCTTCTTTGCCTTTTCTAAAAAGTGCTTCAGATCAGTCATACCTGTCTTGATCCATGCTGGGTCAGATCCTGATGTTTGAAACAAGAGGCATGGAAAGCAAAATAAAGCATTAGCCTCGCTACATGCTGCTAGCCAAGATTTGGCGCTGAACCAGGTCCTGGAAAAAGTACGAGTGTACCGTCTCCCCCTGTCGCTGGACTGCTGACTAAATTAGACTAATGGTAATATTTGGCTGATCAGGTCCAAGCTCTTTAACCTCAACCTTCTCCTGGTATGATCTTCTCTCAAACGGTATTGTTTTGAGTGATCTAACTGAATTATTCTTTTTCTCGTTCTCCATTTTGCGTCTCTTTACGTTCGTCTCAAACTCCCGCAGCTTGACCTGTCAATCACTGTAAACGGACGTCACAGACAGTGACAGTACAGGTCGAGGGCGATCCCGCCCCCTCAGGGCGCACTTCTCCTGCGCCCCCAAATCGTCTTAAGCCGTGTTCAGACCGATCGCGATGGAGGCGAAAAAATCGCATCAAACGCCAGGCGTTTTTCGCTTGAATATTTGATGACACTCGCTTCTATCGCGGCGATTACTCGCTCTGTTCGCCTGAGGATTTTCGTCTTGATTTCGCCTCGCCGCGTCATCCAATAGGAGGAGCTTATGGCCAGTTGCCGGTTCCGGTTGTTGTTCAACTCAGCATGGCGGGCTTTGATTTTCTGGAACGAGTCACTATACTCTATTTAATGTGGAAAGCCGAACAGCGGCGGCAGCGACGCCGTCTCTGGGTCCACGATATCCTCCAGAGACGCTCCCAATATGGGGAGTACCACCATCTGCTCCAGGAGCTGCGCCTGGATGACGGTCGATTCCAGCGGTATTTCCGTGTGTCCAGGACCCAGTTTGAGGACCTGCTGTCCCGCGTTGGGGCTCGGATCACCGTCCGGGAGACCAACTACAGGCGCTCTATCTCCCCTGCAGAGCGCCTGTCCATCTGTCTTCGGTTAGTAAATCAAGCGGTTCTCAATAAATAAGATTCCAAATGTTATAATCCAAGTACTTTACATGTAAAGCCATTGTGCCACTGTTTAGCTTTTAGATTTATGCCAAACTAATCAGTTAGTTATGCCAAACTAGACACGATAAGCTCGTTTCAGGTGGGGGTTAGATAATTAATAGTCCATTAGGTTAGATAACTAAATGTTGCAACCGACTGTGATTAAGAAAATTGCAATAAACAGCCAAATAGCGCTATCTAGTGTTTCTTGTGTAGTACCACATTACCTGGGTTTGCAGAAGGGCCTTAATTATGATATTGCATTAGTAATGGTTGATAAAATCATTTTAAATACTTTATTTAAAGTAAATTACAAGTAAGTAGTATAACTTGGCAACAAAATCAATATCCTTTAGTAGAGTTAATAATTTTGCCCTGTGTTTTTCTTTTTTTATAGATATCTTGCCACTGGGGACTCCTACAGGACTATCGCATACAGTTTCCGGGTAGGTGTCTCCACTGTCAGCGGCATTGTCCCTCAGGTGGTGGCTGCTATCTGGCACTGTCTTGTGGAGGAGTTTATGGCTGTGCCCTCCACTGAAGACTGGCTGTCCATCGCTGCAGAGTTCCAAGACCGATGGAACTTCCCTCTGTGCTGTGGAGCAGTGGACGGCAAGCACGTCCGGATTGCAGCGCCCCCCAACTCAGGATCCCAGTTCTTCAACTACCAGGGGGATTTCTCTATTGTCCTCCTGGCTGTTGTGGACGCTCGGTACCGGTTCCGGGTGATCGATGTTGGGGGGTATGGGAGGACCAGTGATGGCGGCATTCTGTCCAATTCAGCTTTTGGTCAGGGTCTGCGGGCTGGCACACTCCATCTGCCTGCTGACCAACACCTGCCTGATGCTGAGCACAGAGGACCTCAGCCTCATGTATTTGTGGCTGATGAGGCGTTCCCGCTGAGGAGGAACATGATGCGACCTTTCCCTGGACGCGGACGTGGTGGCCTTCCCCCGGAGGAACGCGTCTTTAATTACCGCCTCTCCCGGGCCCGCCTTGTTGTGGAGGACGCCTTTGGCATCCTGACCGCACAGTGGAGGTGGTACCGACGCATCATTGAGGTGCGTCCTGAAGTGGTGGAGCAGTGTGTGAAGGCGACATGTGTGCTTCACAATTTCATGCGGGCTTCTGTGGGAGCTGAGGCACCTGCTGTGAGGGGTGCAGCAGCAGAAGAGGTACCACTGCAAGGTTTGGGCCGGGTAGCTGCCAACAACTCTTCCACAGAGGCAAGACGCGTGAGGGATGCTTTCAAAGAGTACTTCATGGCAGAGGGAGCAGTATCATGGCAGCCCACAGAATGATTTCCACCAGTCCTTCTCAGGACTAACAACGGCTTTTTTAAAAGCCACCCACAAACATAAAGAGCTTATTTCAAAACTTCAGCCCTATTGTACATTCTACTGTTTTAATGTAACTATATTGCAACAAAATGAACTGTGGACTGTATTTTTTGTTATGTTTTTCTTTGTGTTTGCAGGGACTTCATCCAAACTCAACGCACATTCTGTGAATTAAAGCTCATGTTATGTCCCAACTGATTTTACCTCCAAGGCAGCTGCAGTTCACATCCATCACATCAGTCCTCTCCAATCAGTGAGTTATTCAATTAATACCTATAAATGCTGTGGATTTAATACAATCGCTTATGAATGTTTGTCTTTTTGTCATTATTTCTTTTTGCAGATATTCGACAGGACATGAACTCAAGTGGACATTCTGGAAAAAGATAAACACCTGATTTTGAATAGAAAGGAGGATCTTATGATATCTGTCCCTTTGTTAATGTTGTGGGTTTTTTTTTTGTGTGTGTATGCAATATTTTTTTAAGCGACTTTCATGTCCCTCCAACTCAATTCCGGTTACTTATGTGGCCCCTCTGAAAATTACAAGCACACCCCTGGTTTAAAATATGTTAAACTATATCATGGTCCTCTTCAGGGGGAGGGATCATTTTGTATATGCTGGGATGGTTTTACTACAATGTCTTGAGACAAGCCCCAAAGGAAAACCTTGTATTTCAGTCTGCCACAATAAATTACAACCAATGCATAAATGTACCTGGTTTGCAGATGCATGATTGAGTCATATTGTGATATTACAATGAATGTATGAAATATATTAGATATAAAATGTTTGCATGCAAGAAGACAAGTAGAATGACATTTTCTAGATTTATTTATAAAAAATAAAAAAAAAATACAAAAATAAATAATATTGCGGCCTGACTTGTATGACGAGAGACAGGGATAGAAAGGAACACTTCAACAATGAACAACTAGGAGAGGAGGAAGGAGAACTGGTCCTTCCCTGGAGAAACTGCCAACATCTATAAACTTTTATTTAAAATCTATTGGGCCGAATGTTCCAAATTGAGCACAACAGTGCAATTGTCAAATATGACTTTATTTATTTTTGTTTTTATGACCTCTAGGTCATAGAAGGACAGTCTCTCCAGGGAAGGAGCAAGACTTAGGAGGTAATACTCTATGTGGCTAAACTCCCGGGTGGCCGTTGGTGGAGGGACAGGGCGCTCTTTCAGGGCGAATAAAATGGCCTGCTCCACCGCCGTTGGCTCTGCCCGGGGTTGTGGCCGCCTCCTTTTTCCTGAAAAAAACAAAACAGTAACTAATTAAATTGGAACAAGACTTCAATGTCAAAATACTCACACACATATATATATATATATACAGTATATTACAATATCATGTGTTGGTGTGTTAATGTATAGCCTATTGCATGTGTGTTTTTTTTTTTGGTACTGTAACCTGTACACACCTATGGGAGTGGGTGTTGGTGCAGCAGCAGCAGGGGTTGAAGGACCAGGGACTGGAGACCTGGATGGGACAGGGACAGGATCTTCCTCCAGTGGGGATCCTGGCCTGCTCCCATCATCGTATTGCTCTGTCATGACAGTCAAATATGAAATTAGTCATACTTTACGGTGTACATTTCTCATGAAAGATTTTGCTGCATACCTTCAGTCTCTGATGCCTCCTGGTCCTGGGTGGGCTCTTCTGGGAGGTCCTCTGCTGCCTCCTCCACCTGGCCCATGTTGCTGGTGGTGGCACGAGGGGTGACATATGGGTCCAGGAAAGCAAGGACAGCAGAGAACCTCCACCTCCGCACCGCCCCTGCTGCTGACCCACTCCTCCTGTCCAACTCCTTCCTCCTCTCCTTCAGATATGTGTCCCGCAGACCTTTCCATTTTTTCTTGCACGCACTCTCTGAAAATGTATAGGATATAAATATAAATTGGCTTATGTTTGTGATTTATCTTCCACTTTTGACTGTGATGCTTCTCCCCAATTAAACGAGTACAAATTAAATTTGCATTAAAACGTGACATGCTCATTTCAATACTGCACATAATACAATATAAAACATTTGCATGTCCAAAAGTAACTTAATTTAGAGAATACGAAACGAAATAAGACACTCGTAAATAGCGACACATTTTGCGCGGGATACTAGCGCTACGCTAGTAGAGTGAAAATTATATATATAAAAATAAAAAAATTACCTGGCACCCCCGTCTCCTCGCTGACCCTTCTCCACGCTAGCTCCTTTCTATCCCTGTCTCTGTAGTGATAGTTGCTGGTGTCATACAACTCGGGCCGCTGGCACACAGCTACGATCAGTGAGTCCTCCATGTTGAATGAAAAGATGCTTCGTCTCCGCCGCGGTTCAATGCTACGTCACTGCTCGATTCAGTCCCTGATTGGTCAACGCCCCGCGAATTGACCAAAAAGTTCAGATTTTTCAACTCGAGCGAGTAGGGCGGTGGAGGCGAAATGGCTCTAGGCGCGCGTCAAACGCCCCTTTCGCCACTTTCGTTCCGCTCTTTTCGTTCAAAACGCCCTGTTCGCCTCGCTCTACTCTCGTCATTCGCACCGCCGGCCTGTCATTCGCTCCTGAGCGCACCCGGCCATAGACATAACATGTAAATCACTCGCCCCTGACTCCTCCATCGCGATCGGTCTGAACACGGCATTATCTCTTGCATTGAAGAGGAGCTACTGCGCATGTACAACTTTTAACGAGAGTCCATAGACTCTCGGAAATACGTCCTCAGTCCGACACAGACAACGCTGATGAGCTTAATCAATCCAACTCAGCATAAACTATAAAGTATTTCTTCCACATCTGAAATAAAACACACATAAATTTCGAAATATTTTAATGTTATTATTTTTTTTAACGTTTTATTCAAGGTAACATGGCAAGTTGTGAGTGGTGGGGCGGCGCCCTAGCGCCCTCTATTGGCCGGCCGCCACTGGTTAAACTCATCATTCTATCAATGTGCAGAAGCCTGTACTTTTCCCTTGTTGTGTCTATCTGAAGGCCAAGCTACATGGCACCGTGGCAGCTGCTGATTGGAGGTCTCCATGCCTCCGCTCTGTATAATACACTTGCATTCTATTGTATCTGTGATCGTGTGCTTTGTTCGTGCTGTCTCTACCATCGACAATAAAACATGTCTTCTGTCTGAATTTAAGACGCGATCCCAGACTATGTCATCTTCTTCAGGTGGCGGGCATTGTCTGTAACATCTAGTGAACAGAAGACTATTTTTTTTTTTTTACACAAAATGTGTTTTTTTTTTTTCAAGCCAAAACTGAAAAACCTCAAGAGAATGCATCTTGATCAGCCCATGGACAATCTGCACAGCCCCTGATTCCAGTCAGGCTGTGAGCTGCTGAGACATGGACAATACCATCGTCCTCTTTTGCATGGACATGATTTGGAACAATTGGATTACACAATTTGGAACAATTGGATTTCTGAATTTGGACTGAATTGGATTTCTGAATCTGGACACTAAAGCTGAAACGTGTGATTGAAAGACACGTCACAGAAGAATTCATGGCTCGACACAAATGCAGCCTGAAGAAACCAACAGAAGTGGGAGAGACTGTTTTCAAAGCAATATCTGGAACCACCATCGACTGATGAAGTTTGGTATTTTACTGAAGATTGTTGACAAGTTTTATGAAAGATCTGAACATGTTTTATGAGTTTTTGAAGTATTCCGAGTTCTGAGTTTTTTGAGGTACCGAGTGAAGTACCGAGTTTATGAGTTTTTGAAGTATTGAGTTATGATGTTATGTTGCTGTTTATCGATCCTGATGGTCACACGTGAATGTATGACCAGAGGGGGGGAATGTGAGATTTCATAACACTTTGAAGCAACTTTTGTTAAAGTTAAACTCATCATTCTATCAATGTGCAGAAGCCAGTACTTTTCCCTTGTTGTGTCTATCTGAAGGCCAAGCTACAAGCACACCGTGGAAGCTGCTGATTGGAGGTCTCCTTGCCTCCGCTCTGTATAATACACTTGCATTCTATTGTATCTGTGATCGTGTGCTTTGTTCGTGCTGTCTCTACCATTGACAATAAAACATGTCTTCTGTCTGAATTTAAGACGCGATCCCAGACTATGTCATCTTCTTCAGAGTGTTACATCAAACGTCCATAATCAAGCCACAAAATATGTTTCCTTCCGAATAAAGGAGACAAAGGATGTGTTGTAGTAAAGCGCCCTCAAGTGTTGAATAAAAACAATACAACCATAAAACAATTATCCAATTGGTAATTTTGTTTTAATGTTTTCGATTGGTCTGGGAAATCCAACAAAGTACTATTTACACAACTGTCTTTTTGGAAACAAAAAAAGCCTGAAAAGTGCAAACATGAAAAAAATAAATTAACATAAACCACAAAACTGATGTGTCTTTAACACTGGAAATAAAAAGAATAAAAAAAGTTGAAAAACAATACAAAATATGGAACAGATTAAAAACACAAGGATATTGCAACATTTGCTTGGGTTGGTGTTTTTTTTTTTATAAAACAATAAAAATGATATGACATTCGAAGTAACAAACTCAAGTAACCGTGCAAGTGCAACAGTTACGGTCTTTCAAAAGTGAATTCCAGATTTGATCCCTAAACAATGATTCATGTAGTCAGAATGTTATTGTTTCAGCAGCTTTTTGCACTGATGAACTGCACTGAATCATGTGTGCAGTGGTTTAGCATCCTCTGATGTTGTGCTGCTGTAAAAATGAACAGAACAGTAAACTATGACTCTTAAACATATAGAACATGTCACATTTGTATAATGCACATTACTGTAGAAATGAGAATGAAAGCAGAAATGTGACTTTGCTGGTGGATATTAAAGGTGTAGTATGTAACTGGGTGAAGTACACCACCCGTATGTCTCCATGGAGATAAGATCTTTGTCTAGAATATTCCACATGATTAAAACACACCTCCACAGACCACACCAGTCTGATTTATCTGAGATGATAAACATTGTAATGCTAAACTGTGGAACATTTAAGGCAATGATCTAAAGCAACAGAGCACCTTTAAATGTTTTAAATATTCTACCAGAAGCACTCCAAATGCACTGCACACTGAAAACCAGTAAAAATGTCATTGATTTGACATAAGGTATGAGACTTAAGAATGTTCAGTAATCACTGTACGGTTTCTTCTGTAATGTGCAAATTGGGCAGAGCTACACCGGTCATGCACATGTTATTCTGTACACAGCGTCTGGCTCTTGCATAGTTTATGAAAATCATGCATTAGCATCTACATGCACCACTGCATTCTCTCCTCTGTACAACACACACATCACACATTTGAGGGTTGATTGCCTAGCATAACAAACCAAATATGTTCATCTCAAAGAGTTTATGTACTGTCTGCCCTGGACCTCAAAAAGAACGCAGCACATTTGGTGTCAGTAAACTAAAACGAAGATTTGAGATGAAATGTATTGCTGTTCCAGCTAAGCTAGAGAGCGGACAGCTTTAGGCTGAGAGCCTAAACTTCAGCACAGGAAGTTAATGATCCAGCACCAGACGACGGCTCTTACAATATGAGGACATGAATACTGTTGTGTAGGCAATGTGGTGAATACAAACTATTGTTTGGATGTATACAACTCAAAACCTAATACAATCTGTAGATGTGGCTTGCAATATATAACAAAAAAAATTGGAATATGCATGTCAGCTACATTTCATGGTTAGTATCCACGTGATATCCACGCTTCTTTTTTTAAACAATCTCTTCCCTGCTCTTTGATCACAATCTCACAGTGCATATAGCACAGTATTTGGCTACAAGTACAGATTCATGTGTTTCATTGCATAATGAGAGGGTCTATTACTACCACGCATTAGGTACTACCACAGGCAAACAGGGTGAAGGAAAGCATCAAAAGTCAAAGTGCCATGCTCTGATAAAGAAGGAGAAGAAGAGCAGCCTGATCCCTGCACTAATGTAAACCTGTCAGCTTCCAAGAGGATTCAAACTACATTTGACACATTCACCGATTCTGTCATGAAGAGTATTCTGTTGATATGTAAAGTGAGTATTGCCTCTGCACTTGTCATTCCTCACAATGACAAGTCAGAATATAAATATGTTGTGAGAATGCATTGATGGTATGTGGCTGCTTGTATACCAACTGCAGGTTGGATACAGGTCCAGTTACTAAAGTATTTGTGTGTGTGACTTATGTCCAGGTCCAGCACCAGGACAAACTGATCCATGTACCATGAAAGCAACCACGGCTCCAACTATTAGTTAAGTACGAGTATCTTTTGACTTTCTTGGTGAAAAACTACTAGAACTACAAAGTGCAAATAACAATTCTACTCATAATGCATAATCCTACTCTGTTTTCATGTGGACTAGTTAAAGGCGCTTAGATAAGACTTTTTTTTGACAGAAATGTATATAGTTACGCAGTATGTTTTTATATGTACATTTAAATATATAATTACTGTTCGATATCTCAAAAGTGTCTCATTCCAAAAACCAGCATATTTTATGAGGAAAAAAGCCTAGCCTTCAAGAGGCTGTTAATAAAAATACATTTCTATAGTAAATCTACATTGTAAACAAAGAATAAAATATTAAAATCTTTCAGACCCCTAAATTACAACGCTGTTCAGCCTTCTGATGCTTGTCCTGGAACAGTTTATGTATTGCTCATCAGTTCAGATTGAATAATCTTTGATAAAACCCCAGGACGTTATGAATGGCACATCGTTTTACAGAGTGAAAACCATCAAACAACCTGTTCTGCAGTCTGTAAAACTGAAGTGGAAAATGCCTGAAAGACCAGTTTAAAACAATCCTGAAAAGGACTAAGAACAGATCACTGATTTGAGAATGAAACTGATTCTTAGAAAACAACAGGGATGTGTCAGACATGTTTTGAAATACTATTAACTGAGGACTAGCACCATTACTTTTTAGAGGATTTATAACTTAAATCATCTTGAAGCATGCTGGTGGGGAAACAGGTTAAGTTTGAACGTTATCTTATCTACCATAATCATCCTCTTTGAGATGGTCAGGTAAGCAATGCTATTAAATAGCTTGCATTGCTTTGATACATATACAAATATTAAAGTAAAGCTGACAAACTGATCAAAACATGTCTGAAACTCCCTGATGCTCTCTGTGAAACATAGGCACAAAGAAAATAGCTGCTTTATGTTTTACCATGAGCTCATTTCTGCTTCACTGAGGCCTTTGTGTTGTGCGAGCAGGAGACTGTACATTTGAGGCCAGCTTTCTGGAAGATGCCTTTTTCTCCAAAGGCTTCTTTCCGTTTGTGGGAGACTGGAGACTGACTTCTGAAGTGGAAGACTTTGAGCGGCCTACATGCAGAAGGCTGCGACTCGTTTTGGAAGACTCCTTGGTCTCAGATTTAGTCTCAGACTTTGTCTCTGCTGAGTGGTTCTCTACTGAAGTGTCTCCTGTCTTACCCCCAGCACTCACATCTTTGACTTGTCCGTTCTGCTTGCATGTTTTCTCTGAGGACTTTTTAGTGAGCACACTACTCTTGCCCAAATCTGCCGACCGGCGGCTTTCCCTTTGCCTGAGGGCGCTCTTGAAGAAGGAGAGACCCTTCTCCTCAGACTTGCTGCTGCGCTGGAGGTCCCGAGTCGACACACTTGGCGAGCGCAGACTTGTGACAGAGGAGCTGCTGCTGGAGCTTCTCACAAACCTCCTCTCAGGACGAGTCTCCATGACCTTAGAGGGAGAGGAGCGAGCGGTGAAGCTGTTGCGTACACTGTCCACCACGGGGTTGGTGTGCATGGAGTCCCTGCTGCAGCTCCTGCGGGTGCAGCTGGAGCTGATGGAGCTTTTTGCAGTTGGAGATGGAGAGGCGGAGGATTGAGGCGGTGAACGCAGACACGCCTTGTGTTGTGGCGTTAGATCAATGCTCTTAGACGCTCTGGTCTTCACCGGCGTGCTGCTAGGTGTTGACGTGCTCTTCTTAGAAGGAACACTCTTCTCCTTCAGACTGCTCACCTTTTTCCCTTTGACAGGAGTGGTGGGAGGGGTCTCTGTAACGCACTTATGAGATGCACACAAGCGTTTCTTGGAGCTTTTCTCTGGTTCGGTTTTCGTGTCTTTATTGCCTTTAGTGGTGCTGGTCCCTTCAGTCTTTGACATGAAGCCTCCGATGCTGCTCTTGCGTTTCTGCTCTTTAGCTGGAGTAGCTGCAGTGGGGATCAAGTTTTGGTCTACAGCTGAAATCTGGTTGTTATTTTCCACAGACTCCTTCTTTTCCTTCTTGTCTACAGGAGTGGGAGCTCTGCAGTGCATCAGGTCGAGGAAGCGATTGTTGTCCTGGTCACTCCCGTTGCCCTCGATCATAGATAAAGGACTCCTGTTGCCAAAGAAACGCTCGTGACGACTGTAGCTGCCAAAACAGGACGTGGACACTTTGTCGTCATAAACCTCTCCTATCCTTTCCAGAGGAGGAGAGCAGCGCGAGTCCAGGGAAAAGCGAGAGGGCGAGTTTGACCTCATGTGGAGCTTGGCCGCAAGGGACCAGGAAGGTTTGATCCCACTGTCGCTCAGGGCCAACGGACTGGCCATAGACGAGCGCGACGATATGCTTTGCCGCTGGATACTGCGCACAAACGGACGCACAGAGAAGCCCCCTGAACACAAGAAACATCACTTTAGTGTGTACAATACTACACAATCTTCTGAATTTCACATCAGTGAACTAGAGAGCGACGTATAGGGATTTTCTGTGGTTGACGCAGATTTAAATGTCTGATAATAAAATAAACAGAGGGTTTGTGCTAATGCTAGTAGACAATATTGATGAAACAGGCCAATTTTAAAGGAGAAAGAGAGGCATATGGAAACACCAAGATAGCCACTATTTCAATTGTGGAAGTTTTGTTTATGACTCATCTTTTGTGTAATTATTTTGTGTACCGTATTTTCCAGAGTATGTGTTGCACCAGCCAATGATACAGAAGATAAGATAAGATGTGCTTTATTTATCTCACATAGGAGAAATTTACATGTCACATTTGGCATGGATAGAACACTCAGATTGTGCAAAAGGAGGAAATGTGCAAACATGTTACATGCAGGATATATGTACAATAAAGTGACAATAATTATGTACAACAAAAGTGACAAGTGTCGATTGGAAACAGTGTCAATAGTAGTGCAGGTTTTCACACAGTGATCATTTAAAGTGACTTATTGTACAGTCTGACAGCGGTGGGGATAAAGGCCCTGCGGTAGCGCTCCTTCCTACACTGAGGGTAGAAGAGAAGAAGCAGATACTGGCAGACAAGCATATAGCGCCCTCTCGTGGTCGATAGTTTAACAACATGTGAAATTGTTGTTACACTGTGCAACTTATGGTACAGTTATCAATTGTTATGGAGGTTTTTTGTGCATTTTAATTCAATTATTATGTTTAGATATTGTTCTTTGTTGTTTTTTTCTTAGCAAAATGAATAAACAATAAAATATGTTTATATTTAACAGAACGGGACCAAAGATAAAAAAGTGGTCAAGTACTGTAGACTGATTTAAAGAATTAACTCTCATGACTGATTACCAATGGTGTTTTGGGTTCATTATTATCATAAAATTTGCGTTAAATTGAGCCAGATTAGTGAATGATCGGGCAACATCACTATTCGGATTGGGTAGGAAATGGTGAATTTTATGAAGTGGCACTTTGTGTGAATATCACCGCTCCAATGCCATGTTACAATATCTGCCATGGTTCTCATCTGGAAATCACTTGAGATGCTGTGATCATGATGGGCCTCACCGTCGTCTTCATTCCTCTCTGCTGGAAACTCTCCGGACTCGGCGAGAGAGGCCAGTGAGGTCCGCCTGGAAGAGGCTCCGGAGGCCAGGCTGGCGGGTCTACTCCCGGGTAGACGGTTGATCCAGTGGTCACACAGAGAGGAGCTGGTGGAGCCTGAGAAGTGTGGAAAGTCATTTAACATATGCACAGGAAAAATGACTGGTCAGCAAAATACAACTCAATTACTAAAGTACAAGCATGGCATACCCCACCACAGTAGATAAATAAATCTGGATGTTTATAAAATGTAAACATGTTTTTCATGGTTCAGAGCACAGGCTAATTAAAACATAATAATTACTTACACAACACGTTTTATCTACAACCCTCTTGTTTGCAGTTTTTATAATTATTTACTGAATAATTAAAGAGGCACAGACCTGCGACAGAGCTGTTGGCGGACCAAGACGGGATGGCGGTTCGGCGCTGGTAAAATAGAATGTAAGCGGTCTGTTGACACACATCGTCGTCTGCGACAGGTGACACCTCGCTGTCATCAAAGCAGTACCACTGGCCGTCCACAGAGTTCTTACAATATGCTGAAAAACACACACGCACACAAAATATGACTGCACAGCTTCAAAAGCCTATTATCAAATCCTACATAATCTTACAGTGCTGTACGTATTAGATATATTTTCTTTGATTAGATACAGTATTGTTTTTATTTAGTAAAATCACGTTTCTATTTCAATTTAGCAATATATTTTGACTTCTGCATCAATAGTGTTGTATTTTTGTCAGAATAATGTATAAAGATATAAATAATGATTATCACGAGTTTAGATACGTTTCAAAGATACCCAGCCCGAGCTACGCATTTTAGGGGATCTTGAAACCATTATGCCACTGGTAATTAGTAATGAATATCATCTTAAAAGAAAATAACAGCTTCCCGAATACAGTCGAAAGCAAACAAAAGTGACACCTGAAACGTACATTCCTCTTTAAAGCGACTGTTGCTTTTTGAAGGTTTTAACTGCATATCCCTATTGAGTAAATCAGAAGAAAGGCGACTTCAATTCCACTTTCCATCTCAGACTGACGCCATGTTAGTTTTCTCTGGTGCAGGATACGACGCTCAGCCTCGTAACTTCTGACTGGATCAGGATAGAGGAGAGGGGGAAATCTATCAAGCCGATGCCACACCCACTTTCTGCTAAATGTAGTACAGAAAGGCGTATGGGAAGACTGGCTAGTTCTATATCAGGGTTATTTGAAAGCTTGATATCGACTTTCTCTTTCAGTGCATCTGTGTTGTCCTAAGTGACGACTTTCAACAGTGTGATTACCGGTGTAGTGTCCTCCGTGCATGTTTCCGTGGTGATTGCACACAGCGTATAGGTCGTACAAATAGTCGTCCGGGTTTCTCCCCAGGCCATAAGGGCGTCTCCATGGTGACCAGTGTGAGGGTAAACTCCAGCTGCTCTGACTTCGCTTCACCACATGGGGTGCCATGTCCATCCCGAGCAGAGGGAAGCGCACCATGTTCTGCATCTTCACCCTCCGGTCGCCCTCCTGCAGCAGAACATATATTATATATTAAAGCTCGACCAATGGAGACAATCATTTTCTAAATTCATGAATGCAGCACCCAACAAGACTCCATTCTTGATGGATTATAAAAATCCATCCAAAGCAGAAAGATTGGAAGAAATCTCACAAAACATAGGACTTATCTCGGCCTCAATTAGGTCAAACCAGGGAATAGAAGCAGTCTAAATGACTCTTGAATGAATTAGCCTTATAATAGTAAAACATTAAGATTAGTATTCCTTGTATATCATGATCAATCAATCAATCAATCAATCCTTTATTATCTCACACAGATGGAGAAATTCAGTTCGATGAATAAACATCAAGGCCGATGAGTCAGGAGTTCATGACCAAATGAGTCATGAACTCCTGACTCATTTGCTTGGGATGGGACGATCACCAGTATAAACACTGAGATTAAGATTAGTTCTAAAAAATTTATTTTAAAAGACTCTTTCTGCTGGGAAAAACTAAATGTATTATTTTATTATGTAAAAAGTAAACCATGTTACTTTAAACGCCACAATAGCCTACAATACAACACGGCTCATACCTGTCTGAACCGCTTCAGGTGCAGGATGAGGACGTCAGGTAGCGTCCACAGACTGAGCTTGATGCGTCCCTGCTGCAGCTGCTTACAGTGGGGGCAGCGCCAGGCGTCGTCCGGAGCCAGCTGAAAACACATGCAGCTTCAGCCACTGAACCACAAACTAAGAAAACCTCACATGGGAAACTTTCCTCAGCGCTGAGCCAGGCCAACACAACCACATTGTATAAAGTGGGCTGTTCTAAGAATTTAGACCGTTTCTAAACACAGCACAAGGAAATATATAATCAAGCCTACAGAATTGAGATTGAGACTGATTTAACTTCAGAAAAGAACTAATAAAGTCAGCAGAATGAAAACGGATGACTGCTCTCCTGATCAGTTTAAAGCATGCGCTTTGTCACCAGCTATTATTTTACTAATCAACTGCAAACTATTATCATGCTTTTCTTTATATGTCTGATCTGATGAGCATATATACAGCATTTTTTTTCTTCCATTATTAGGTAGAGGCTGTTCTTTTACACGTGAATAAAAACTGGCTCAACACATTTGTGGCACGGGTTTTTTTTTTTTTTTTTTTTTTTTTTATCTTTATTTGAATTGGGACAGTGCACATTCATCAACATGTGTTTTTAACATGTAAATGTGCCAGAGTTAGCCATGTAGGCTAATTTTCATCCGTAGTCCCATGGCAGGTTGATATTAAGACAGATAAAGCATACAACAGGCACACACAGAGACACACATACAAACCCACACAGAGGACTTCTCGAAGCTCAAACTTGAGGAGAGGTGAATTGTTCAATCACTCTGAACATGGTAATATGATCCTACAGCAAGGAATCGAGGAGGTGCCATCAGCCCCAACGACCAACACAAACTAGACCCATACTAGGTAATGTGGATGAAGTGTCTTGCCAAAGGACACAACAACAGTGTAGTACTTTACAGCCTCAGCCTCCCCACAATGTTTCAACCTGAGACTACAGCACTTCTGTGGCACTGAGGCAGGGCATAAGGAGGATCAGGTGCTGTGTCCTGGACATGGGCGGTACCTGCTCCTCTTTGGTGTAGAGCTGGAAGCACTGAGCCAGGCTGCAGGCCTGAGGCTGGTGGTGCTGCTCGCGGTGCAGGTAAACGCTCTCTGCGTCTGGGATGTACTCCTCCTCCGTGTGGCCAAACAAACTGTGGGAACATAAACACAAACATCATTCAGCTCGGGATCATGTGACTGTCACATGACCTGCCTGTATATCACTCCTGTGTGGACAAGTTCGACTGTAGGATTATTTCTGCATGACGAGGAAAACTGATAAGGAAAGAAACTGCCTGCACTCGACTTCCAGGGAAACCACACTGTGTGAATTTACCGTTGGTCAATCAATAGTCTTACAAAGCCATGTGGTACTGCTGCCTCAGGAAAATCATTATTGAAGCCTTAAACCAATGTTATTAAAAGTTGAGCCCGCTCTGAATGACTTTTCTCAGATCCGACTTTACGGTGCATTTAGAGCTGTCACATGTGGAGTGTTTGTGTTGGAGTTTTGTTGGAGTGACATAAAAACGCTGAACTCACTATTCCTTGGTTTCTTTGTCCCACTCCACTACAATCTTGACATGTGGCGGCCCTCCATGTCCACAAGACTTATACGCTCTGCAAAAAGATGACACAGAAGATTCATTCATTAAAACATAGGTCAAAACTTGAGCATTTCTTTGCCATACTTGTGGTTTCAATTGTTTTTGGAAATTGTTTGGAAAGTTGCGGTTTGAAGAAGGTGTCGTGACTTGGTTCATGGAACATGAGCTGCTGAGGTGAAGCGCGTTAAACTTGCATTTCCACAAACAGCCCAAGTCACGTTCAGGCACGTTTAGAAGAAGGGAGAGGAACAAAAGGCAGTTTAAAAGGAAAATCAAAACCAACAGTGATGTAATGTAGACTTTCTAGAAATGACGCAAACTTCTTTAGCTCTGACATTGCCTGAACTCTAGCTCTCAGAACACTGTTTACCAAAAGCTTGTGGATAAAAAGACCAACAAAAAAGTCACTACACATCATACGATAGAAAAAAAATCACGATACAAAATTCAAATCCAGCTACAGCATTTAATTTGCGAATGAGATAAATGTACTATAGAAAATGAGCATTAGAATTTGATTCAGATTCAGATTCATTTTATTCGCCATTTGCAGTATGTATACACCACATTGGAATATATTTGTAAAAGTTCCCCGTGTGCACAGGACAAGTACAGACACAAAACAACATTAAAAGACAAAAATAAAACAAATTTTAAAAACAGTAAACAAATGTCACAACAAATGTCACCGTGAAGTTGACCAACTTAAAACAGATCTATACGAGTGCAAAACATTAAAGTGCTCTATTCAAACTGTTAACAGCTCGTGGAAAAAAACTGTTAGCATGACGAGATGTCCTGCATCTCAGAGAACAGTATCTTCTGCCAGAGGGAAGAAGCTGGAACAAGGCTTTTCCTGGGTGGCCAGAAGAGTCTCTGATAATTCTCAGGGCACTGTTAAAAAGTCTGGATTGATAAAGAACCTCCAGAACAGGAAGCTCGCAGCCCACGGTCCTCTCTGCAGAGCGGAGCACCTTGTTTAAAGCTCTCTTTTCTTTATCTGTGATGTTACCGAACCACACAGACACAGAACCAACAAGCAAACTCTCAATGGTGCAGCGATAAAAGTTCAACAGAATCTTAGAGTTAGTGGTAAATTCTCTAAGTTTCCGCAGGAAGTAGAGACGCTGACGAGCTTTCTTTACGACTCGGTCAGTGTTTTTAACCCATTTCAGGTCATCAGACAGAGTTAGACCCAGAAACTTACACTCCTCTACAATCTGCACTTGGGAGTTATCGATTGCGACAGGCAAATGAGAACTGTTGCGACTGAAATCAAAGACCAGTTCGCATGTTTTGGATGCGTTCAGCTGGAGGTTGTTAGCCTTACTCCACTGAACCACGTTTTGGATCTCGGCTCTATAAGAGGATTCATCGTTATTACTGATGAGACCGATGATGGTGGTGTCATCAGCATATTTGATGATCAGGTTAGAGTCTGAGGAAGACACACAATCATGAGTGTACAGTGTAAAAAGTAAAGGACTCAAAATACATCCCTGAGGAGATCCAGTGCTCACAGAAACAACATCTGAAAAACAGTCATTGATTTTCACTCTCTGAGATCTGTCAGTTAAAAAGCTATAGATCCATTTACACATGGCAACACTTAAACCCAGAGACATGAGCTTTTCAATCAGTTTACCTGGGACAAGACAATTAAAAGCAGAGCTATAATCAATGAACAGCATTCTTGCAACAGATTTCCTATTGTCCAAGTGACTGTAGACAGAGTTCAGAGCAAAGGAGATGGCATCCTCCACACTCCTGTTCTGTCTGTAAGCAAACTGGAGCGGGTCAACACTCACAGGGATCTGGCTCTTAATGAAGTCCAGCACAAGCCGCTCAAAAGTCTTCATTAGGACATAAGTGAGGGCCACAGGGCGATAGTCATTAAGGCATGTCACAGGAGTTTTCTTAGGAACTGGGATAATGGTCGACTCTTTAAAGCAGTTCGGCACAGTACAGTTCCTTAGCGACAGGTTAAAAATGTCTGTTAGCACAGGAGCAAGTTGCTCAGAGCACAGTTTCAGGACACGAGGAGGGATGCCGTCCGGGCCAGGGGCTTTCCGGACAATGGTGCTGGACAAGACACGCCTGACTTCCTCCTGAGTCACGGTGAACGCAACTTGATTGAGGCAATCAGGAAAGACAGTAGGACAGGCATCGGCAGATTCGAAGCGGCAGTAGAACGTGTTCAGCTCATTAGGCAGAGCTGGGCCAACAGATCCGATTTTCCCGGCACTAGGTTTCCAGGACGTGATGGCTTTAATACCGCTCCACATGCGCCGAGGGTCATCTTCCTTAAAATAACCCTTTAACTTGTCCCCATAACTGCGCTTTGCAGATTTAATAGAACGTTTCAATGCATAACAGGATAGCTTATAGGCAACTGTATCGTTAGATTGAAACGCCAGAGCACGCTCATGAAGTTTTTGTTTCACTTCCGCATTCATCCAAGGGTTTTGACTGAGATGTACTTTAATGACCTTCTGTGGGACACAGCAGTCAATACAGAAGCGTATGTATCCAGAGACAGCGTCACAGAATTCATTAACATCCTCTGATTGAAACACAGACCAGTCAGTGGCATCAAAACACCCTTGTAGCTTCATGCTAGCCTCCTCGGACCAACACTGCACAGTGCGTGAGGTTGGTTTATGTTCCCTGCTCCTCTGAGAGTATGAGGGAAGAAGGAGAACAGAGGAATGGTCGGACTTTCCAAATGGAGGTCTGAGACTGGACCTGTAAGCTCCCTTCACATTGCTGTAGCAGTGATCCAGAACATGTGCTCCTCTTGTAGCTCGAGTCACATGTTGGTAGAAATTTGGGAGTACAGTCTTTAAATTACATTTGTTAAAATCCCCAGCGACAATAATCACTGCATTAGGATGAGCAGTCTCGTATTTATGAAGGATCTCGCTCAGATCCTGTAGTGCTACAGTATAGTCCGCTCGTGGGTGGATGTAAACAGCGCATAGAAATATCACAGAAAACTCCCGCGGAAGATAAAAAGGGCGGCAGCTCAAGACCAGGCATTCCAGATTTGCAGTACATGTTTGGTTCACGATGCGAGTGTCCGTGCACCAGCGCTGATTAATTAAAAAGCACACACCTCCACCTCTGGATTTCCCCGTGGTCTCCTTTTCTCTGTCCGCGCGGTGAACGGTGAATCCCGGGGGCTGAACAGCAGAGTCCGGGACGCCTGGATGGAGCCACGTCTCGCTGAGGCAGAACACAGCGCAGTCTCGGGCCTCTCGCTGGCTCTGGACCCGACACAGAAGCTCGTCCGTCTTGTTGGGCAGAGACTGGACGTTGGCCAGGTAGATGGAGGGCAAAGGGGTCCTGGAGGAGCGGCTACGAACGAGCAGACCGCCTCGTTTTCCCCGGTGTCTGCGCCTCCTGCGTCGGCTCCCGGTACCCTGCTCCACACCGCGGAGAGCACGATGGAGACGCCCAGTCCCCCCGCTCTGTTCGCGGCCATTGCCGCGGCCCGCCTGCCCTGTTTGACGGGCCTCACGAGTGGGGCACTCAATAAAGTCCAAGCACCTCAGTTCGGGTAAGACCTGCGATACTCCACAAGCTTGGTCCCGAATGTAAAGAAGTGTCTCCCGGTCGTACTTCACGGTGGCAAGTGTATCACAGACGAAAAACAACATAGAACAGACAGTGCACACCAGAGCTCTTACTGAGGCGCCCTGACCCGGCGCCATCTTGCTCCTCAATCAGAGAAGAAACTTATGGAATAGCTTCTGCTCGACAAAGCAACATGTTCTCATAATTTAGCTAAAGGCACATGAGTATTCACAGATTACAGATTACCGGTGAAGTGGCTGCTACATAAAGTCTATAGACGGAGACGAACCTGTCCACGGTCGGGTGACACAGCGGCCTCTCGTCTTGAGGGAGGAGATAGGTGATTCCGACGACTCCAACCACTCGGAGACTGAAGGGTCCCACCTGCTCCACAAACATGACATTCAGATACTTTGCAATCTTGTAAATACTGTGATCCACATCCCACCTGAATATAAACCCCTGGCCTCAGGAGGTGACGCATTTTTTCCAAGATTTCCTTCTGCAGAGTGTCCCAGGTCACAGTGCGCTCCAAGTACAGCACGAACGGCAAGCCAAACCTGAAATGGTACAGGTGTAAAAATATTGGTAAAACCTTAAAGGGCAGGTGAATGAGAAGAGAATCTATTGAGGAACAGTGACATATGAATTGGGAAGAATTGTCAATACTAAATACATTGTAGCTTATGTTTTAAAACTAAGCTATTTGAACTTCAATCTAGACAAAAATAGTATGTCCAATGCAAAAGTTGTGTTTGTATTAAATCACAACACTCTAAAGAGCCTATAGTCGCAGAAGGTGAAGTGTTTACCAGTGCTTGTTTGAATGTCCATTTGTTTTTTTCTGTGAGTAACAAAATTCAAACAAGTCCTACATATTCTCTGTCAGTACAAATCAACTGCAGTCATATTATTAGACAAATAATAATAAAAAAGCTGTATAGAAGTGGAGAGACAATATTCAAAAACATACACGTTTCTGAATATTGTACAAAGAAAAAATATGGCAGGTTTATGAATCTAATCACAATTAAATAATGATCAGAGAAAACATTTGGTCATTTAAATTTTCAATATTTCTTTCAACAACTGCTTCCGTCCCACAGGAAGTGTATTGGCGCCTGCCCTGCAACTGAAATACAATTCTACAACAGGACTTCTTTTGGACAAGAATGAGCTAAAATTGATCAAAGTGAAAAATAGATCAATGGCATACTGAGGAACACTCTAGAATGGAGATGCTGAGGAGCTCGCTGTTGCGGACAATACCTCTTTCCTTGATGTCCGGTGCACGCTCTGTTACACACCAACAAGATCATTTTCTCTGGCCCGAGGTTTTTGTTTGGCGACGCAGTCAGAGGCGTCATGGCCCCCTGCATGAACGAAGGAGTCCGGCTCAACTCTGCCCCGTACTTAAAGTTATTGTGATTCAAGTTTGCCAGAAGACTCCCTGATGACAGAAGCAAAAGGAAGAAGAGTGAAGTCAAATTACGCTACGTCCCGTTATGCTGTGTTGTGTGTGTGTGTGTGTGTGTGTGTTGTGTGTTCGTTACCTCTTTTGTGACGTATGTTTTCCAGTTTGAAAGTCTCGGGTGTTTCGAAGGCAAAGATGGAATCACTTTCTTGAATAATATTAAGATCGTGGTCGTCGTCACAAAACGAGCGGTGGAAGCCGTCGTAGTACATCTCGGTCAGAACAAACTGGAAAAATAGCAAATATGATCAAAATCGACAATTTGACGACTCCTTTTAGGTTCACCCAAATGCATCAGAAACGTCAGATGAGGATTGCAGGACGATAAAAGCACCGGTTAATAATACAGTCAATTCTGGAAATTAACTATTCTCGTCACCGTGCAGCAGATTATTGTCTGATTTGTAACATGGCGCAGATTTGTATATTGTCCCAAACTGCATTCCCAGATACTTAAATATTAACCCTTCACCACAAAGTATCAGAATTGCTATATGAGCTCCTGAATCAAGGACACAAGTTTCTATACAGCGACCAGGCTTCCCGCAAACACTTTATTTTATTTCTGTCATTGATTTTAGTTGAGTCTTCACCTAGTTTTAAATCAAATGTTTGAAAAAACTCTGGCGCCTATTGGGCAAAAACAATGAGGATCTTTTGATCAAATTGATGTAAATAATGTATTTGAAATGATAATACAGTCAATTCAACAAATAATAGAGAAATGAACCCTGAATTAATTAAAATGTTACTCTTAAAATTACATACTATAATTTTCTGAAAAATTCCTAGTCTAGGATAAAAAGCAGAGAGGGTCTGAAATGCAAACCAACTTTCATGATGGTGAGCAAATATTTGAGTCCATTTCTAATAAAAAATGTAAAACCGAAAACTTCTTAGACCTCCATCCAAAAAACAGAATACATCCTTCATATTACTAATGAGTAAAGAACATTGCAAATCAGACAATGGCAGACCCTTCTCTAGAACACTCTAGAATGCCAGATGCAGCCTGCAGCTGGCCTGACAGAGCGGGACACATTCTACACTAATGAGAGACTGGAATAGCACCTGGTCCATGGGGATCTTGGTCTCTCGTGACACGGCCTCTCGGAGCCGGTACACTGTGCTGTTGAGGGGAACGGCCACTCCGACCCTCATGCAGTGAGAGTACTTGCCCTGGTAGACCACCGTCACATACAGGGGGCTGCAGGGGAAGACAACACACCTTTATCAGAATTGATAATGTGATAATCTCTTAGAGCTACATGTTCATCTTCTGTACATTTACCGAGTGCTTCCCATTATTGCATAAGTGTAATGTTCTTTGTATTATTTATGTAATTGCTGTGGAACGTTGAATAAGTCACTTTTATTATTAGATGATCACAGTTTATGTCATTTGCAATATATTGTCCATTAAATGCATTTTTGTGATCAGACTATAAGATTGCATCAAATTAAGGTAACTTACTGAATTTCTAGGTCATTTTTGTATATTTAAATACACAAAGAGAAAAGGGCATTCTAATTCAAGCATCTGTCGTGTGAATAAAAAATAAAAAGAAATTGGCATAATCCATTGATCTGCGGTTGTGTTTTGGATATGTGAAATTTGCACACCTTGTAAGACCAGTACTGGTGCCAGTCACTATTGAGCGTGTTCCAGCGTGTAGAGAAAGTATTACTGTCTTACGCAGCTGAGCACTCACCGCGTGTGGGGCAGCGGGATGGGCAGAGAAATGCACAGGAACGGGTCGAACGTGTTGCTCTGTTTTTGACAATGTGGGCAAGTGAGAGACGACCTGAAGAGGAAAGTGCAAGAATAAGAATCTAGTTTGGCTTGTGACCGAGCAGAGACGTCATCAAAGGTGTCGTCTTACTTGTACTGAGCCTGAAACAGCTCTTGCACAAACGATCCAGCCGAAAGGGGAGGAGACGGCCCCTCGACGCTCTGATCTTCCTCTTCTATTGGAGGCTGATGGAGAAGAGCAAGAGTTTGAAAAAACACACCAATCGAAACAACGAGCCTATGTGGTTTCAACCGCAGAGCACAATTCAGTAATTATTGACTTTTTAATAACGGTAGGCCTGACCTTTCTTCTTCACCCTGTTAATAAAATGATCAAAAACAACAGGTTACCTTAATTGCCGGTCGGCTGTTGGGATTGACAGTGTCGATGTCTTCATGCACTCGGTCCAGCAGCCACAGCAGAAACTCCTGAGCATCATGCTGAGCATGTCCTTTGAATTGGGTGGCATTTTTTGATACAATGCTCTGCAAAACAATTGAGGAGAAATAATATATTTGGTGTTACAACATGAAATAAAAAACAAACCACAATGTTGTCAAAAAGAAAAATATGACGTAATTTCAGGAATAAATTAATTATGAATTTTGTTTCTGGACGTGGTGGTTCATCACCTTCGTGAGTTCATGGCGATAGATAGCCAAAGGAACTACAACATCCAAACAGGAGAGTTCTGTCTTCATACAAAATATAGTAATACATTTGTCTGTTTTGTGGCTGTAAAGTTAAACCGCTGGGATTGAAAACTATGAATAAATGTAATAGTTTATAAATTGCTCTTCTATATATTATGTTACGGTGTAATTTTATATATTACGGACCAGATGAGAGCTGACATCATATATTAAAAAGGCAACGGTAGTAGCATATTGACCAATGCAAATGTGCCTTTTAAAAGTCCCTCGTAGCCATTCTTTGTAGATCTGCTAAATCAAATGACAGAGGCCTGAATAATTAATGCCCCACTTACCTTGAAATCCCTGCTATGCTGCGGCGTGTACTCAAAGGTCCACAATGCCCTCACGAGTCCGGACAGCTGCTCGGTCACCTCCCCTTTGGCCAATGGTCCTTTCCTCTGCAAATGGACACCATTTGTTCTTGGTTTCTCCTCGTTTTGCTCTGCAGATGAGAAAAATGTGTTGTTACTATTCCCTTTTAACCAAGTCATAATGATAGAGAAGGAATCCGTTCTATAATATGATGCAACAAAAACACTGAACAATAGTAGTAAAGACTGCATACCTTCTTCTTTAAAGTGCTCCAAAACAAGATACTCCGCAAACAGATCAGTGTTGCTGAGGCACTGTAGTATTGCATTCATGAAGCAGGTATTCCCATGGTTTTTAAGCCCAGACACTCCCGGGATCTTGTCTCCAGAGAAGAACATTTCCCCGGAGTCCTCCATGGGGACATCCTTACTCCCAGAGTTGAACGTGGAAAAGCCCCCATCATCTTTGTCATCTTCTGCTTGTAGCTCTGATCCAAAGTGTGACAAAGCTGTGAGTGTCCTGAGAAATCTACTCATAAAACTACCCACCGATCTGACCGAGCCTCGTCTGAACAGCTTCTTACTAAAGCTTGTTTTCTTGTCCTTGGTGGCAGCTTTGCAAGACATGTTTGTTGACTTTTGCAGGCAGACACCACAGATGACACTTCAGCTGTTTACCTCATGCCCTTGCAAAAGTTGTTGTTCACGACCCATCGTTATCATTTTAAATAAATAACCTCAAATATGTCAGTGGCATTTCGACACGAGGGAGCACGTTGGGCGTGCTTGTCAAAAAACATGAATGCACCCATTTTTTTGTACTCCTCTGCAACCTTGTCAAAGACTGCAAAGCAAGTCAAAAATTAGCATTACAAAAGCAGCTCAGGGGTGTGTATTCCTCAAATCCACAACTTTCTCTGTAGTTGGCTTTGTTTGTGGTTTCCCCTCGCCGCAGGAATGAATCAACATGGGCTGGTTTTGCTCGGAGCGAAGACAGATAAGACAGCGGCAGAGGGAGCTAATTTCACGCTAACGCTAGCTACAATAACAACACGATCCGCGGGGCAAACGCAGACAGTTCCATATCTGCGACAAGTCCGCCTCCCAAACAAGACCAAAGTGTGCCATCGTCTTCGTCCTGCTGCCTCTGATCTGTCAGATTAAACTTGAATCCGTGTGACCCCCGCGCTTCGGTTCCTGCATTTTTGGAGGCACATTTCAGGGCTAAAAAAAAAAAACAGCAGTACTTGGTTTACTTTTGCTCTTAGATTTGGCAGGAGTCACGCGCTGCTCAGGTGTGCACTGACACCTGCTGGCCGGGGGCGTCATTGCGTCCTACTTTCAAAGGCCACTGTTTGACACATGTGGTTTTGTGGTATACATAGTTCCCACAGACCAATGAATGTCACATGACCTCCTCGGAGACGCCATCTTTGATGGCACGCTGCTGTGTTTGTGCATTCCATTAAACAGAAGAATGAGAATAAATGTAGATATTCAAACGCAAATTGGAAAAAAAGGGCAACTTTTGAGCAAATAATTGTATATTAATACAATGGCACCACAGTTTAACGTGCTACGGACATGTTTTACATATTTGATCAAATTATGCAGCAAAAATTAACAAGCAATGCAAACATTTCTCAAAAACTTTAGATTTAATACCAGTTGGAGCTCCATTTAATTATTTTAATTATATTAACAATTAATTTAATTAATGCTAATGCCACACGGACACTCTGGATTGCTGTTATTGTTTATTTCCGCGTTTTTGACCGTATGTTTTGGTGAATGGTGGGCAACTGATTTTTCCAGGCGTAAAGAGCAGTTTATTTTATGACACAGATCTTTTTACAGAAGCAATGCTGTTTGTGAACATTGTTTTAGCCCACCATAGAACTATTATTATCTATTTAATACATTTACGTTGCCCTCGAGAGCCTCGGACGCGACACCGATCCTCCTCATAATAAAGTAATCTAAATAATGAAACTCTCAAGTTACCAGCTATCAGCATACACAAGTTAGTACTGAGTAAATTACGTCTGTCAACACATTATAAGATACGATACGCACCTGACACAAAGTGCTCCGAGCATATTCTTGCGTGTTTTGAGGGAGTTTCTTGCCTGTTTATCTTCGCAAGCCATAACCTCCGTGGTTGTTCTGACAAAAGCTTAGTCTTCTCACATTCATGAAGTCTAATGATGGGTATACTGTAAAATCCAAGTTTAACGGAACCTCCGGCACGATTTGAACATCCATTGACCCAGCAGGAGATGACCATTTTCAACTTTATCACGACATTAACACGTTTCAGCTTCTTTTTCTATTGTTTTGCCCACAGCATGCCAATACAAATGTCGCCGGGTCGGCAAATCCCCGTATGTAGTGACGTCATGTGGGAACTATGTATATTATATAAAAAAAATGAAAACAGAATATTTAAAATTTGCTACACAACAACAGCAACAAATCTGTTTTAACATTGTGCTTTTTAATCATTCAGATTTATATAAAATTATCAATAATGGATTGATAATGGTCATCCCAGTCACCTCTGCAAGAGCTATTTTTCATGAATCTTTTTATTCTTAAATTGTTTATTTTAATTAGGTCATTCATGTTGTTTTTGCTCTTTTGTCCGGGTGCAGTTTTATGTATTTGGATTTTTTTTTACATGAAATAGTATGTTTTTAGGGAGAAACGTGATTGACTATAGAAAGACCCAATAAAGTATTTATTTGAAAATAAAATCTTATAATAATAAAATTCATGAATTGGTTGTAGAGGAAAAAAAAAATGTATGCATTCACATATTTCTCATTTTGGCTATACCCAAATGTTAAGCCCCCAACAATTTCCAATGCTTTTGACTTCAAAATGTAATAATCTTACATTTTTAATAAGCACATTAAACATTTCAAAAAGGAAAAGGTTGGATAGGAAAAAACTTTATTGATCTCACAATAGAGGAATTTACATAAAACACTTGACATAATGTTATATGTAACACCCTGTATCACTCAGGGTGTGCAAAAAGACAAGAAATATGCAAATAGGAAAAAGAAAACATGTCAAAAAAGTTGAATGATATAGAGTACATTTTGTGCAATAAAGGTATTTTATGAACATTTAAAGATAAAAAGTTACTATTGCAATAAATCACTACAAAGTCACTACAAAGGCCCTGCGGTAGTGCTCCTTCTTGTTCGAGGGTGCCTCCGTAAGTTCATCAGTTCTGTTTGGCTGCCTTCAAGTGAGGTATTATATAACTATGTTTTTCTTTTAATTATTTTAAATGAATATTGCATGATCATTTAATGAATCTTCTCTTGTAGTAAACCACTTTGAGCTGGTCGATGTATGAATTGTGCTCTACAAATAAACTTAAATTGTATTGATTTGAACTGACTCGCTGTCAGTTTCTCCTTTTGCCAGGCGGGGGCACACCAGGCCCACAGATCAAAACACATTTAATAAAGAAAGAGAAAGTGATAAATGTATACAATTCATCCCACTCTGGAGAATTCTATATTTCTCAACTAATGAGAATATGAAGGAGAAGATTTCCTTCATCTTGGAAGCTAATGCATTGGAATAGTCCAGAGTAACCGACAGGCACCATTTCCTTCAGATACAGGGATGTGAGCGATATTATAAAGTGGAGGATTTTCGTTGGGTTTTAAAGGAGGTAGTGTCTGAAAAAGCACTTCATGGGTTTCAACTTCCACGTCCATGCAACATCTTGAGGACCATTTTATCACCCAAAAGAAAGAATATTGGCTTGGAGATATGGGTGATAAATTGGTAATTGCTATGACAACAGTCTTCATAGTTCATCATTACCAAACCCATGGAGTGACTGGTTACAAATAGATTTTCTGACAACAAAGTAATACAAATGAGAATTCCAATATAAGGACACCTCCAGGCCAACATGACATGAGAGTTCCCAGTTATTTTCTGTTGGGTGTCATGTATGAAGGACAGAGGATGTGATTTTGAATGACAGCTGATAAGTGGTGCTGGGGGGACGTTGTGTTCCTCTGATGAAGAAAGCTGGACTGTGACCACTGACCATGCTGCTGGCAAGCCACTCTAGCCTATAAATATGTTTTACTGGTGCTTTTGACTGACCGCTCATCTGCTACTGGCACATTGTATGCTGGGGAATGCATGTAAAAAATCTGTAGATACACAGTCAGTGCATGAAAAGATACACATTTTGAGAGTATCAGATTGTTAATGGACTGTTACTGTAAAGCGTTGTGCAAGAAAGTCAAGTAGTACCTTTCAATGAAGCTGGTTAATTCAAACGTTATACTATGTTTTCTTTATTTTGCTTTTGGGGGATGGTTGAGGAGGTATCACACGGTCACTCAGATCTTATTATGCATGTTGTGTGAGTTTATAGCAGAGCATATGTGCCACGTCCGTAACTTCAATGCGTGTGGTAGATAAAAGTACGTTTTATTTCACGGCAGGGCTAAATGCTTCTCTTGTTATTTTCTACTGGCGCTCACAGCAGTCGGAGCCAGATGGGGAAGTTCTCTAATGATGTGACCATGGAAACAAGGCGAAGGGTCACATGTGTCTCTTCACTGCAGGAAGAGCCGCATCCACTCCATCCATGGCTCCGGTTTTAGGAACTGTGTGGCAACTCATCACATCTCACAACAGACGCACAGATACTTCCATTCCTTTGTGAAGGTGTTCGCAGTGTGTGTGCAATCAAGACATTTTGAGGGGCTGGATGCCACATAGGTATTGAACATATATACTGTTTGGTCAGATCTGGTAAAAGTCTTCATGGCTGGGGCTTCTCCAGAACAAATTGGGCAAAACTAAAGCAAATTGAGCCGGATTAAGTTCATTCGTTTTTAAGCATATGAGGTGATCACCATAGTGTATATACCTCTCTAGTCTTATTTGACAAGCATAATAATTGACAATTGGGAGGACCAACAGTCTTGATGATCCACCCGGAAGAAGAAAATCCTCCTTCATACCTTTAAGTGGTGCACAGAAGTATGAGTACACGTTACTTTGGTGGGTGCTGCTTGTGAAGACAATGTGTGAAATCTTGTCTCAGCTTACACACGCACCTCTCGTCGACAGCCATGTAATTAATGTCCCTGAGACTATTTAAAGCCTCTGCTAGGCTTCTTTTATTGTGCAAAGGACTGACAAAATGCCAGTTGATCTCATGGGTAATGTGGGATTATGTATATGTTCACAATCAGTTGGTATAGTAGATGATAATTCCACATTTCAGGCAACGATTAAAGATACAGTATACACCTGGAATGAAGAGAGGTTTTTGACTTTTACCAACACCAGATGGCACTCTACTTCTTTACTTTCCATCAAACGTGCTTTTGTCTCCAACTACACACTTTTTTTTAACAGAACATACTTTTTTATTTAGGGCTGCCTCTGCATAAATAAATCACATTTAATTCCAGATGAGACTAAAGTGAAGTCCAAATAGGCCTGCAATACATGACAATAACTTATTTAGGCTTTCTCTTCAACAATTCAAAAGTCTTAGATGCGCATGTTTCAACAGGTGCATTTGTCTAACTATGTCCAATCCACTCCACTTTAATCAGAACATTTCATAAGAAAATAGTTTGCAAAGTACTGCCCAACAAATCAATAAATACACACAAGAGAGTGAAATAATTCAAATGCAGATCTTCGGGGAAACCCTAAGATCCAGGCCGAGCTAATTAATACCAGCAGAATGAATGTTTTAATGCCACAGTGATTGACAGCTCTGCTCGTGATGCGCGGGTTCTTTCCTCCGCGGCATCCCTCAGCAACAGACGGAGATGTGTTCAGGTTCACCGCGTAAAGCGCACGTTTACTTCAGACAGTCACTGACACCACGCTGGAAATCATCATTCAAACCTTTGGGAATAATATTAAGCAACCATAGCTTTTTTTTTTTTGTTTTTATGTCCACGTTGATTGTTCAACCTAAGTAAACTTTATAGTGAACAAAACATGAAAACCTTACTCGAAGACAATCCACTTTTACTCACAATTCTTTTGTAAATCCAATTTTACCAAAGACAATTGTGTAACTACAACATTTGAATCCTGCATATGCCCCGAGCAGTTGGTGTCTGAATCCACTTCCTGAAATATACCTGGACAAGAACAGTTTGGCTGAACGAGTGAAACTGCCCTTCACATTGCATCAATAAATGAAAGATGTGACCACCAAGAATGCGTTGCTCATCTATCTATAACACCACCTATACTCTGTGGTGATACTAAGTAATTCCCAAATTTACTAGTATGATTTAGAAGGCCCTGGGACTTCCCAGGGAGCTGATTCAAAAATCAATATACATAGACCATCAGTAATGTACCCTGTTACTCCCTGGTCAACAATCCAGACGCCTACAACAACTTTAGTCAGAGCCTCTCTGCACCACAACAGAATGGTTCAGGGTTGACTTTACTTCATGAAGAGTACATTTTCATGTATTTTGGAGTAAACTTTACTACATACTGTAAAGAGTGAGGTTTCATGAATGATTAGGAGTAAACTTCTAACAGATTTTTTTCCAGGCACAGGTATCACCGAAATGATTGACAATTGGGGGGAAAAATAGTCTTGATGATCCACCCGGAAGTAGAAAATCCTCGTACACATCTTTGTAATGTTACTAATCACTGGTTTACAGTTATTTAAACATATTCACCATGACTTCTGTTGAAAATGTATGTTAAAGATTAGGCACATAACTTTATTAAGACTAATTAAAACCAAGACAAGTGGTACCTAATATATAATCATTGTCAAAACAGTTTGTTTCTAGAGTTTGCACATGCATGTATTTTTTGCCCCATATTTGCACATATTTAGCTCCGGTCTTAGAGACAAAAAAGTGAAAAAGAAAGGATCACACACTCTCAGCAAAACATCTCTCAGCCCAAAGCATCAACCAGTGACTCATGGGCTCATACAACTGTGCAAAATACAACATGTTTTCTAATAAGAAAAGGACATCATGTTTTGTTTTCAACATTGCAAGACATTTTGGGCTTAACCTCCTGAGACCCTGCGACCTCATACGAGGACATTACATTTTTGCCTCTTGGCACAATGATACTCAATTTTTTACATCCTTGACCTGATGGCCACATTTAGGGACACTGCCCGCGCCATCTTGTGGTGATATGATAGAATTACACTTAAGGCAGTAGGAAAAAAATGGTGGCAATATCAGCAAAAGACTTCTACAAGAGTTTACAGAAGAAAAATGCCCCAGGTAAAAATGCTATCAACATTTTATGAATGAAATCAATTTTTTTATGCACAATAATGTCTCTAGCTTCATATGGAGTTTGAAATTTGACAAATTTTGATTGTAGTAGCAGGCTAGGATGTCAGTAAAAGTGAAGCACTCGTTTGAGGACGCTAGGACTATGTACCGCTATCTGTTTAGCTAACAGTGTGGAAGATTTAGATGAAGTTACAGTTGTAAATAGTTATTTTGAATCACACATTTGCTTAGTTATGTGGTTTACAGTTGTAAATAGTATATTTAAGTACTAAGTGGTATATGCTAAGTATTGTTTAGTGTTGCTAAATTCTAAATCATAAACAATATAGCTAGGCTATAGCTAGCACATGATAGCCAAGCTATGAAGTGTCACTGATATACTGTAGATTTTGATGTTGGTTTTTAACATTATCATTACAGGCACACTTTCATTGTCAAGAGCAGAACAATTGCTGTTGGCAATTGCAGACAACTCTGAGATAGAGGACTTCTCAGATGGGGATGATTGTATCATCATCTCATACCTGTCAGTCATCTTCTGGTGTTTCCCATGGGGAGAGGCGGCGAGCTGGGGTGGCCATACTCATTGCCCCCCATCTCAGCCGCCATGTGTTGGAGTTCTCCCCGGTGAATGAGAGGGTCGCGTCCCTCCGCCTCCGGGTGGGACAAGTCTCTCATTGTTGTGACGGCCTACGGGCCTAACGGCAGTGCCGAGTTCCTGCCTTCTTGGAGTCCTTGGGAGGGGTACTGGACAGTGCACCGCCCGGGGACTCCGTTATTCTCCTGGGGGACTTCAACGCCCATGTGGGAAATGCCAGGGACACTTGAAGAGGGGTGATCGGGAAGAACGGCCCCCCTGATCTGAACCCGAGCGGTGTTCAGTTGTTGGACTTCTGTGCCAGTCACGGTCTGTCCATCACGAACACCATGTTCGAGCACAAGGGTGTCCACCAGGACACCCTAGGCCGGAGGTTGATGATCGACTTTGTTGTCGTATCATCTGACCTTCGACCGCGTGTCTCGGACACTCGGGTAAAGAGAGGGGAGGAGCTGTCAACCGATCATCACCTGGTCGTGAGTTGGATCCGCTGGCAGGGGAAGAAGCCGGTCAGACCTGGCAGACCCAAGCGTATAGTGAGGGTCTGCTGGGAACGTCTCGCTGAGCCCCCTGTCAGACGGACTTTCAACTCACACTTCCGGGAGAGCTTCTCCCAGGACCCAGAGGAGGGGGACATTGAGTCCGAGTGGACCATGTTCTCTTCCTCTATCACCAATAAAGCGGCTCGTAGCTGTGGTCGCAAGGTCTCTGGTGCTGGTCCCGGCGGCAACCCCCGAACCCGGTGGTGGACACCGGCAGTAAGGGATGCCGTCAGGCTGAAGGAGTCCTATCGAGCAATGATGGTTCGTGGGACTCCTGAGGCAGCTGTCCAGTACCGGCAGGCCAAGCGTGCCGCGGCCCGGGCTGTTGCAGAGGCAAAAACCCGGGACTGGGAGGAGTTCGGAGAGTCCATGGAGCATGACTATCGGTCGCCCTCAAAAAGGTTATGGCAAACCCTCCGGCGCCTCAGGAGGGGGAAGCAGTGCTTTGCCAACACCGTGTATGGTGCGGGTGGAGAGCTGCTGACCTCGACTGGGGATATTGTAATCCTAACCCTAACCCGGAGATGGTAGCCTTGAAAAACCCCATGCATTGCAGAGCACAAGACTGCATTGGAAAAGCCTGTCTCCGATGCATGACATGCAATGTGTACCTGTGCTTGCAAAGTGAATGCAACTGCTTTGCAGCATTTCACACTTGCCAATAGGGCTCTTCCAAACAGGCAGACAGATTGCTTTCTAGAAAAAGAGAGGGAGCTAGTTTGAAAAAAGCCCCGGTTCATAAGCTGTTCAGCAGAATTTTACTGTTTTAGGACTGTTAATAATATTTGCCATTATTTGTTCTAGTATTGTATTTATCAATTCAATTCAGCCATATTGAAGGCTTGAAATAGACAGTTTACACAGTATTTTGCGGTTTTATTTATGTATAGCCAATTTTTTGTCATGTGGATGAATGAAGAAAAAGGGAACCCAAATTGCAGGACTGAAAATCAAAGTAATTTAATAAAATAAATCCAAGGTAATGTAAAAACAGAACTGAAGACAGGACAAACATTGTGGAGACAATGGACGGACAACAAGTGAGGAAGGGCACAAGGTATATATACACACACAGGGACACACAGGTGAATCACATTAGGGCGGGGCAACAATCAACAGGACAGGCAGGATTCAAACTCAACCCGGTCAAAATGTCCACACCATGACATTTTTAGGCTTTGAAGATAGAGCTGTTTGGATTTTATGTCTAACTTTGATGTTTACATTTTTCAAATAAACTGTTATATACTATTTTAGACCAATGGAGTCTATTTGTATTGTATAGTAAGGTCGACCCACTGTCCTCATGTGAGGACATTGATTTTTGAGAGAAGTACTAATTGGATCAAGCTGAAATTTTGAATTTCAACTAATCAGGACCTTCCGGCCTAAAAGATCATAAATTTTCTCTTTAGGTTATGAGAGACCCACTGTCCTCATACGAGGACATGTTTTTTCTCAAAAACTACTTCCTGTACAAAATCACAATTTAGGTATTATACTTATTGGGTCCTACTTATCCTAAATAGCAAAAAAATATATAAAATGCACACCAGACAAATGCTCGGGTCTCAGGAGGTTAAGAGCATGTCTTGTTTATGTAGGGGTAAATGTATAGGTACAGAGAACCTTTATTCATCCCACAGTGGGGAAATTTCAATATTTCAACACAAAACATACAAGAAAAGTAACTGCAATGATTCTTAACTTGCTGTATATGCTTCATAAGAGCAACAAATATATAGAGAGTAAATTATATAAACATCTGGTAGAATAAAATGTGGATAGAGTGAAATTCAGTGGACATTCTGAAATTGCAGTATTGCACAATGCACATGATTGCAGCATTAACATCTAATCTCTAGATGAGATGACATGTATTGGCTCAGCAGCTCTCATTGTACAGTCTGACAGCAGCAGGAAGGAAAGACCCGTAGAACCCTCCAACAACATCAATCAATCAATAAATCAACATTTATTTATATAGCACAGTTCATACAGAATGCAACCCAAAGTACTTCACAATGGCAACATTTAAAACCAATTTAAAAACACACTGTAAAAACAAATACAAAATACATGCTGTTATTAGTGTAAAAGTTTAATTACAACAACTTGGCTATAGCTCAGCTCAATCCTTAACAGCTATGACGCACATACAAAGTCATTATTCGAGGTTTTATACAGAATTTGGACACATTCTCCTACACTCAACACTGCTTCAATTAGTGCGTTTCCCCACCCTGTGCTGACACCCTGAAGCCCCCATGCAACTTCCTATGTCCATATTTGGCACAGCATCAGCGGTGGCGGCGCGCGCGTGAGCTGGGGGAGAAAGGCATTTGGAGAAAAAGGGGGTCTAAAAATGATCTTAAGTCCTGCCAAACGTCAAAAGAAAACCTCGGGAAGCTTGTTTTGGTGCGAGTTGTGCGAAGAAGAGCCGCGCGCTGTGAGCCACTGAGAGCCGCTGACCACTGCTCCAACTCTGAGGACGCACCAGCGACCACCACCGTGTGTTCTCTGGACCCCAGGAGCCAGGTAAGAAGGGGTCCGCTCCAGCAGCATCATCTCACACCTGCACACTCACACACCCGCAGTGGACCTCTCACGGATGAGCTGAGACATAGGCACCTGTTGATTTTGTGCATGCGTAAAAGTTGTTTTGCAAGACATGCTGTTGTTATTACAGTGCCTTGTGTTTGTGCGTGATGCTCATGTTGACTCCGGCATATAGAGGCTGTTTTAAGACAATCAAAAAAGACTCAACTCGTGCTAAGTGGACAGATATGTTTGTGAATGTAGTTTTGAAGATACGCAGAATTGGAATATTGAGAGCATTTTTGTTTTGTTATTTTAAATGCTGCAATATAACTGATGTGACAAAGGAATTATACCGTAGATGCACTTTCAAAAACTAAAAAGTGAAATATCTGTCGGAAACCCTACCACTGTACGAAATATTTCAGTAGTTTTGGGCTGAAAGTAATAAGAAAATATATTGTATTGTATTGACAACAAAAAAGGTTTGACTACAATTTGACTACAATTTCTTGATTACCTTGAATACCAGATTTTTTTTTTGGTAAATACTTAAATATTACGTGAAACTGTTTCACCTCATCTGCAAAGAACTAATTCCAGCAATAGAGACACAGACACAGAAATGTTTCTGCTTGTGCCAACACTGCTCCTAAGACTGCTAGAACAATCAAGGAGGTTCGAAATAATATTTCAGGACTGCTTGTATAGAATATAAATTATATTGTTTCTAAAAACATGTCATTTATACGCAGTTAAAGGTGAAACAAATGTGAATACTAGCAATAGCAGCTTTGTTCAGTCCTGCATATATATCTATATATATTTATCTGTGCTGTAAATATGAACCTATACTTGCGATATTGCACTACTGGTTAGATGCTGAATTGTGTTTTGTTGACAATCACAGTGTTCAATAAAATCTTATCTAATCTATATTGTAATTGATTTCTCCATTCACTGAAAGCTTCATACTCAATTAGTATAAAAATAATAATCGATAGCTACAGCCCTAAAGAAATTTTACAATAACACCATATTTCTAAAGCATAACACATATTTTAATGACATGCTTTGATGCATTTTCTGGAGCTAAACTCCTGAATATTATCATCTGCAAAGTAACTCAAAAAACCTGGTCCCTTAATGTCCATATCCCCCCTAACTCATATTGTTTAGTCTTAGTTTTAATACAAAACTCTGCTTTAAATTCCATGGCTGTTAAATCAACTGTTCATCTGCAGACATGGGTAAGCCTCATTGATCTGTGCATAGGTGTTACGTGTTCGAGCGGTGGTGCTTCGCTGTTCGTTTCCTTCACACCGATGAGCTCTCTCCCCAAGTGACAACAATTACACCGCTGTAATTAAATCGCGAATGAAAGCACCATTTATTATGAAACAGCACAGAGCTCGCTTTCCTCTCTGTCCTCATTTTTTTCCTGATCTTTTATCAGAAACCAGTTCCCAGCATTTTAAAAAAATATATTTTGGTTAATTTGATGCCTATTATGTAGCGGTCTGATGGAATGGCAAAGGTTCTAGTAATGCTGGACAAATAATAAGAACTTGAACTTGTAGAGCACATTGAAGTGGGTGTAATGTCAAGTGTGGAGGTGGTGATATCGTCTGCAACAATGTTTAATGTCTGCAATTCACGGTGGCATGCTCACAACGGTTGTTTAGTGGGCGAGAATAAGTCGTTAAGGTTATTCAGTGTAATTGTTGTACATGATCTGATTGTGTGTCACTGACATACAGTGTCAGAAGTAAAAAGTCGCTAGCTTGATGCTAACTCCATCCAGAGACCTTCCAGAGACTTTATATAACAGCAGTACAGTATGTGTTCACCATAGACTGTAAATATCAACGGACGTAGTCACTCCTATCTCCGCCGTTCAAACAAATGGGCCAAAAAATGTGCTCTACTGGAGCTATCCATTATGGCCGCGAGTGGTCCCGCCCACAAGAAAATTGTGAAAAAACGCATCTGCGCATGCGTCAGCCGGCGCAAGCTCCTTTCCTTTTAACGAGTGACTTCAAAAATTCACAGCAAGTGGAACGGAGCCTTGGGCCAAGAGCCAACTTTTGGATCATCCTGTAAAGACGTTTTCGAGAGGTCTGCCAATGCTATATGTTAGCATTGGCTAATTCTTATTCAGGGTCCACCAAAAGCCCCGGTGATCCAAGATGGCGCCCTATTCAAATGAATGGCTTGTGCTAAGTAGCGCATGGGACTTCATGGAGACCGGGAGATTAGCAGAACTCGCCTATATTTGGGCATCGTCTGGTCCTCCCGGTTCTGCGCAGTGGACGAGCTCCCATGATGCGTGTGTGTGTGTGGCTTTCATGCACGTGCACAGAGGGGCCCGGCCGCGCTCTGACCAATCAGAGCTGCTGATCAGAACAGCAGCAGAGTGGAGTCAGAGCAAGAAGGAAAGGAGCAGAGTTTGTGGCAGTAAAGCGTGGATTTAAAGAAAACAGAAGGATTTAAGAAGAAAATAAAGTTGAGGATGACAAGGGACACTAAAATCCCCACAAAATCCGATCTATATGAAAGCTGTAGGTTCTCTGTCAGCTGAGGTCGAGCTGTTTTAATTTACATTGAGTTCTATGGGACGTTTTTCTGGGTAGCCCGCGTGAATTTAGTCTGCAGTTCCACGGTCGCCCCCTTTGCCCATGAGTTGGACAGCTATAAGCTAATACCCTATCCAGTTCTTACAGTATTGTAGATCCATGGTCCACCCTCATCGGCCCGGGGTGGTATTGCAAGCATGTCAGTGCACGTCATTTTGGCCACTTTTGAGCCCACGGGTGTTCACGGAGGTCATAAGTCATAAGTTTATTTTATTATTAAACGGTACCTCTCAGCAAGAAGGTCCTGGGTTCGAATCCCGGTCGGAACAGGGCCTTTCTGGTTGGAGTTTGCATCTTCCCCCTACCACTAAAAATATGTACAATAGGTCTGGCATGCGCTTCCTGTATTGGCGACCCCGCTCCCGTCTCTGTGTGGAGTGAGAGGACAAATGCCTAAAAATAGCAATTGTAAACCGCTTTGTGACTCTGGTCTGTGAAAGGCGGTATATAAATAAAGATTACTTACTTACTTATGTCCGCATCGGCGAACACGCTAACGCTAGCTGCGCTAGTTTAGTCACTACTAGAGCCTGAATGAGAACAACTCAAGCCCCGGCGATCCAAGATGGCGCCCTATTCAAATGAATGGTTGTGCTCAGTGGCGCTTTGTGAAGGCATGGAGGCTGAACGATTAGCGGAAGTCGCCTGGAACTCGCAAAGATCTAAGGGAAACTCGCCTGTATTTGGGCATCGTCTGGTCCTCCCGGTTCTGCGCGGTGGATGATCTCCCATAATGCATTGCACCAAACACGCGTGTGTGGGTCTCACACCGGGTCTCACGCACGTGCACAGAGGGGCTCGGCCGCGCTCTGACCAATCAGAGCAGTTCATCAGAGCGGGAGTTAGAGCGAGAGCCAGAGGAGCAGAGTTTGTGGCACTAAAGTGTGGATTTAAACAAAACCAAAGGATTTAGACAAAAAGTTCAGGATGACAAGGGACACTAAAATCCCCACAAAATCCGACCTTTAATAAAGCTGTAGGTTCTCTGTCAGCTGAGGTCGAGCTGTTTTAATATGCATTGAGTTCTATGGGGAAAATGTCTGGGTAGCCCACGTGAATTTAGTCTGGTTCAGTCTGCAGTACCGCGAGAATCCCCCGAGCACATGAGTTATTCAGCTACAAGCTAGTAATACCCTATCCAGTTATGATAATAGATCCATGGAACAACTACTGTGTTCCCCATTGTCAATCCTGGTTAAGTCCTGGTTTAGTCCTGGTTTAGGTCCTGTTTTGGCTATATTTTGTATTTTTGAGTTATTTTGTCTGCTCGCTAGACCGCTAGTCCCGTGACCACTTTGCGGCTCTCTGACCCGAGAGAGAGGTAGAGAGAGACGAGAAAACAATCAAGCATGCAAATGGAATTTATCGTGGCCAGGAAAATTATCACGCCAATTTTTAATCATCATGCGATAATTATGATTTATTGAATATCGCGACAGGCCTAAACAGGGGTCCACTGTACAAAATATGCTAGTCTGATAACACGCTCTTCCTCTTGACCACACACATATATAAGCCGCACTTGAATATAAGCCACAGGTTTTCATGTTGTAATGTAGCAGACGACTGTATTTACCGGTCACAACATGATTTAATGACGAGGTGTGCCGGTAATCATTCATCAGTCAAGTTTGACAATAAATGAAAAGTCCATAAACTCTGCTCTGGCAACTCTACCACAACAAAAATATACATATTTGCCGCATCCCTATTTAAGACGCAGGATTCAAAGAACTAGACAAAAGTTTCAGTTTTAGGCTGGAAATTACGGTAGTTAATTTGCTAAAAAAACTCCATCCATCCATTTTCTACCCTTTAATCCATTTCTGGGTCAGGGGGGTGGCAGTCAGAGATGCCACCCAAGTCTCACAGCACCAGCCCCTCACTGACCCTCTGCAGGTGGTGAGTCCACAGGAGGACGGCTGCTCTCTGAGTGAGAGCATAGCCTTGATCTTTCAGCTGGGGCTTTTGGGCAAAGTGGGGTTAAGTGTCTTGCCCAAGGACACAAAACTTATGCAACAAAAACGCGCCATTAATACAATATTTGAAAGACTTAAAATTTGCTCTTTGCCAAAAGGCAGATCTATTGTGCAACACAAATACATACATGAAATTACATGAAATAACTAAAACACTGCTACATTTTTCATTGTATTGTTTTTTGTTAATGGGCACACAAGAAACATTAGAGATCATTCTGCAGCTTTCAATTTGAGAAAATTGAAAATTGTTTTGAAAAGTATTGTTTTGTTATCGTTGAAGAACCAAATTTAGAAGTCAAATTTTGAGGGGGGAAGATTCACTTCACCCACTTAGAAAGTGTCTTGTGTGTGTAAATGGTTGGTGGTGGTCGGAGGGGCCGATGGCACATGCTGGTTGTCTCGCTTCTGGCAG